TATTGTAATCTACAGAATGAGTGTCAATAGACATCTCAAAGATTGACAATAGGTTTAAATTGGCGCTCGATTTGACGAGTATATCTGCGGTTTTCTTGTTAAAAAAAGATGCTGGGCTACCCGTGTCTACGGTGGCTTTAAAAAACGTTTTGCTGACTCTCAGGGTGATTTGTAGACATCTGCTTTTTCCATTAGCAGATTTGGTGACTTCTAGCTTTTGACTATATTTTGGGGTTTTGGTTCCTGATGGTTAGTTAGGACCTTTGGTGGAATGTTCAAAATCGAATATTCCGACTCACTGTCCGATGCAAAAAAAACGCACATCTCTTCTGCTGCGATTTCTGTGAGTCACCTACATTGTTCCTGAAAATGCAGCATCTGGCAAAATGACCTCTTTTGTTACAGTTTTTACACGTCACGTCCTTTGCCGGGCATGGAGGTTTTTGTTTTGGGGAATAATCCTTCCACAAAATTAACATGGTTTGTTCTCTCTTTGTTGGTTTTGGTTATGGCAGTTGTTGAGTTTTCCTCTAGAGCTTTATGCTCGCTTTGTTCTGTTTTGGATGTTGTTCTTCTGCTGAACTAATAGGGTTGGTTCCTGTTTGGTTTGAAATGAATATGGACAGTTCTGGCCGGAATTAGTATTTGTATTAGATGGTACTGAGAGATTCAACTGTTTTTGTAATGTAGAGGCAGTGACATAACATTTATCTTGAAGGAAAGCCGATTTGAGGGTTTCTTCAGGAGAATTACCCAGTCTGATACAAAGATCACTTTCAATGTCTTTGAATCTTATTTTGGCGATGAAGATGTCTTGGACAACCTCTTTTTCATTGTCAATTGCCCAACCACACTGGGCTGCTTGGCCCGGAAGTCTCAGGAAGAGGTTCTCCAGACTTTCGCGATCTGATTGTTGCGTGTTGTAGAGATTTATTCTTTCGATAATTTAGTTTTTGTCCTTTTTGAAAAGTGTCTCGCAATAATTGTGGAAGTCGCGAATTTTGATCGTTGCGATACCTACATGAGCGTGGCTTTCTAAGAATGTTTTCTTACGTTCTGATCCCGAAGAGAAGAATAATCGCGATTTGATCCTTTGGTACGCCTCATGAAAAAAAAAACATTTGGGCTAATTTTTGGTCTCTTTTTTCTTCTTCTCTCATTGATTTCGCTCGGTTTGCGAACTTCAGCTTTATCTGTTGCGATGTGATTGGCTTCTTCTGGTTGGGACTCTGTTTCTCCCTTTCTCTCTGGTCGCGGAGGGGGGTCGTCAAAAACTTTTACCGGGTCACTCAGTAGAATATTGGCGTTACAATATTCTTTTAGATTAACGGCTAAGAAAAATTGTCCAATCCACGATTCCCAGGGGAATAAAGGTTCCGTTGTTGATTTGGGCCGGAACGCTGGTACCCCTATAAAGTTAGTTCGGTCCTCGCCGAACAAAACTGCTGGCTGCGCCATGTGGGATAACAAGCGACATACTCATAAATGATAAAACAAAGTGTATAATGTGAATTGATAAACGAAAGTATCAATAACGAATTCTGTATTTTTCAACAGAAAACAAGAGAGTGATTTTTTCATTCAACATCAAGCTGCTAGGTCGGTCGACTGGTACCGACCTTGATATATCAATCAATATGACCAAGCTGACTCACACTACTGAGACCTTTAACACCACCTTAATAACACAATAACAACTTCGTAAGGGGCGACCCTCCTGTCGTACCACAATAATATCCCATGTGTTTATTGTACACTGATATAGACTGAGGTGCTTGAACTGCCAAATTAGTTTTTGGCACCCGATCGTTCCTACCGAGAGTAACTTCTGGTTCCCCTGCTGAGAATGTGCTCGAAACAGTCGCCGATTTGTTGTCATACCATTGGATTGCAACCAGCTGTATCTCTCGTGTGTTCAGCGTCTTAGTAATATACAAACCTCTAACAGGTTCCCGAAGTAGTCAAACTTCAGCCCAGGTGCGCGGCTTACAATCAGTTCCCGGATTAGATCTGTGCCACCTGCAAACCTGGTGAGTTGAACCAGTTGTCAAAGAAAAGCTTGAAACTTCTTTCCGATGGAATAAGTTTGGCGAGACGTAGTACTACTTGTCCAGGTTTTTTGACAATCCCACCATCCAAAAGTGCCTGAAAATTTCCACCATAAAACTCTGTTTTAAGGATTATCGACCAGAAAGTACAAACACTCCCCAACCCCACTTTTTCGGACCCCTCGACTGTCCAACCCCACAGACTTCGCACAGAATTAATTAATTCTGTTCGTGAAACTGTGTCGATAGCCCCGATAGTTCCTTCAACAGAATATTCGAAGTCCTCTTTACCCGGATCCGCCATTAACTCAACTGAAAAAAAATGAATTAAAATAATCGTTCTGCCGGGTGGTACGATTTTGTACTGTACCAAAAGCACAAATTTTTCCAGCGCCCAGACAGTAAAGATTCATATTTCCACGTTCTGGTAATTTATGGGGTGCCAGTGAATAGGTATTCAAAGTTTCAGAATCCTAAGTTATGTGAAAATAGGGGTACAATAAATATTCTGGGCCAAAACCGAGTGATTTTTCGTAGTCTGATCACGGTTGACAAAGGCGTCCTCTAGTAGATGCACGTGTCATTGGTAGCCATTTTTTTATTTTCTTAAACCGTGGTATTCAAAATTGGCTCGCTGTACGCTTTCCGCCAACATCAAGCACGTATGATTAGCCACTTAAATGCCACGTGTTGTTTTCTAACTCGGTACGACATCGTATCATCGTCCAGTTAGGGTGCGCGATGGCTGAACCAAAACAGAACCAAAAAACGGTTAAAACAGAATGTATCCTTTTTCATATTAAAATATGATTAGGTGGGGGACTCGGATCTACGCCAAACCGATCTACTTGCTACAGCGGTACATTATTTTATACCGCTTGGCCAAGTCAACCTCTATGTAGTTAATTTCGAAGACATCAAAGTGCACGTTCAAGTATCTTTTTTTTGCGGCAACTTCGTCAGCCGATAAACACGGAGGAATGGGAGCGACCAGTACAATCGGACGGTTCATTATGCTAGCAACGCTTTTAATGCCGGCGGATCGAGCACGTGCTTTTTTGTCATAATGCAGTTTGAATATATGATCAAGTGGGAAATGCCCACGCGGATGTTAGGCACAATGACCCACACCAAGCCAACAGTTTTTAAAATTTCATTTGAATTTGCCTGCCATTTTGTGTTTCCGATGAGGGAACGTAGGTATTCCCGCTAACCAACGTGACAACAATGCTTTAGCGTATAATTGCACTCTAGCGTAACGCCTGTTATGGTCAAAATTTTCTTCAAAACCCAGCGACGGGAAGCTGGCTTTGTGTTGGCTCAGTATGAAGTGCTAAGTATGATGTCAAGGCGTTAAAGTTTTGTGGATTAAAGCTAATGGCAGTGACTGGTCTATCTTTTAATGGTTGTTCAACCAGGCTAATTCTGGTTCTTAAAAACTTCTCGATCACCCTCCTGTTGCCTAGGATATGTCTGCGATATGTCCTGTTGCCTAGGTCTGTTGCGGTCTTGAGCAAGCCTTCTGAAATGTAGCAGAACCCCAATCAAAGCTAAGCACTTCTTTTATTGGCCTAAATCCTAGTCCTGCAGCTCTGATCCTTGTGGAACATAGAAGCTTTAGTAGAATTCAGACTTTTTCATATATCGACAAAAAAGGGAGCGGTGGTGAAGTGGTTAAGTCTCCGCCTCTCTAGCGAAAGGTCGGATGTTCGATGCCCACCATGATTCCTGCTCGTTGTTTGAGGGTAAAACAATAATACTCAGCCTAAAAATATAGCCAAAAACTGCATGTAAACCTGAAAAAGTGGTACAACAGCGGTTCTCTGTGAAGAGGTGAACAGTTCATTTATTGGTCTTTGGCTCGTGGATAAATCGTCTTAAAAAGTTTTATCAAATTGGGGGTGAACTAGTGGCGTCATAATTCAGTTCTGAGCGCACGACACACTCGTAAAAAACTAGAGGCTGAAAATCTAAAATTAACATGCCTTACATTGCACTACCACGCCACTTAAGATAAAAACTGATGCTACACAATGTGATTTTGGGATTTCTTGATGAAAATGCGAGAAGTTTTGAACAATTCGGGCAATTTTTGGTGATTTCCCAAAACGTATTGTGATATTTCGCCGCCGAGCGGGATAAAGCCAACAATCGGCTATGAAACTAGTGTCCAGCAGGAGCGGATCTAGGATTTTTTCGAGGGCGCGGATTTTCAAAAAATTGTCTTAGAACTTTTGCCGACCTTTTTTATGGTCGACCAAATTGATTTTCTGAGCGCTCCCAGAGCACTAGGTAAACCATATTTTGGCAAAATGTTTAAGCGCCGCAGCTGCATGCAAATTTTTGAAAAAACAGGTCAAAATAACCGTTTTTGGGCACTTTTTGGATAATTTTGACCAAAAAAAAGTGTTTTTTTTTTGGCGCACGCTCGCCTTCAAAATTTTTAAATATTGGCACAAAAGCGCCTTCAGAAAATGTTAGGATTGGTCAGCCGGACGTGGATAATATAAATTGATATCAAAGGGGGGACCCTTTGGCTGGTGAGGGGGTTCAAACCTTGAAATGAAAGACGTCCCAGCGTCCTTCCCCCGCACCGCCACACCCCCCTCCCCGTGAAACCGCCCCTGGTGTTCAGGACACTTTTACAAATGTTCTTTTCATCTACAACCAGATGAGTTTTTCTTGTTTTTTTTTGTATGGAGTTAAAGGCAATTAAAAACAACATGGAGTTAAAATCAATTTCAATGCATCCTTTGCAAAAACAGTTTATACGTTTACAAAATTGATCTCTTGCCTGACTAAATAGCTTATAAATATATTTTAACTGATTTTGTTTTTTCTTCAACATAATCAGTTCTTTTTTCTAAGAAACTGCACGAATTTGATTGCTTGAAACTAAATGAATTGCCGACGCAACGGAGTATGTAAAATGACCTGTGTGTTTCTCCACAGGTGTTGAGGTCGAATCAGTAGAAGTGACATCTGTCGACTCCACGACTACACATGAATTCAGTCTTTTGACCCCTGGCTGTTTTCACACTGTCACTGCATGTGCACAATGTCAGGGAGATGACGACGTTGACGTCATTTTCGGCAACTGCGACACGAAAAAAATATGCACTGGTTTGTTTGATTTCAAAAACTTCAAAATCATAAAAAAGGCGGGAGGAAAATTGTCCTTTTGAAAAAACGGCATTGATAAATTCAAAGTTGAAGAGATCATAGGTACTCTTAAAAAATCTCCAATTTCTCGCCATATTTGCGATGTTGCAATAACATGATCCCATTAAAGCTTTTTTAATAATTGAAGAAATGAATTGGTGATAAGTCTGTGGAAAACCCTGGCTTTTTTGCTTATACCCTTTTTTGTACTGCTACATTAGTAGCCAAGAGAGTCTGGAAACGGTAGGTTTTTAAATGATGTAATGCGGTTCAAGGTCAAGGTCAGCAACAATGAATAACTACAGGCCATATCGTAGATTCAGTGTGCTGTGATATGGACTCAGATCTTATAGTATCTTGCATAGTCGTAGAAAACTAGAGTCGTGATTAGGTGAGATCTACATTACGACAGGTTTTTAGTCGCTCAAGATCCTAGGATATCAGGATTTTCAAATCTCGAAAAAAAAAACGGATTTAGTTATTCCGCTTTACTGGGCGACGGCTTCAGTAAATCGATCCACAATACTTTATCAAAAACTGGGTGGAATAATTCACAATGACAGCGACATTATAAAAAACGTGGAGCCACACGGAAAATTGCTACCAATGGTCGGTGGTACTGGACCGCTAAAAAACCGGAACCACCAAGACTGACAGAATCTACGACTGCAAAAACAGCAAGAGCTCAAAGCGACAGAATCGTGAGCGGGCAAAGCGCGGCTAAAAACTTGAAAAGAATAAAGAAAAGACAGAAAGTAGGACACCATGAGTACAATACAGAAACTGGTATAACGTCTTTTCCTATCTTTAGGGTAAGAAAGGCCAGAAAAGACGAAAGGGGAAAACTTTATGTACAGTTTGTTGAATATAACAGAAAACCTATACAAAAGTTGAGAACATTAACAGTGAAAATGAAACAGCAGGATTAATAATACCACAGATTACTCTAATATATACAGAAAAAAAACGAGAATTGTGTTGCATTTAGATTTTAAAGAAAAAATAGGGATTTCAACGTCACAAAGAACTACCCACAGATCTGATGTGTAAATAAAAATGCGATGGGTCTACGGGTTACAAAGATGAAAGATGCGATATGTAAGAAATTTAAAATCTGTTCAACAGAAATGGAATATCAAAAAATCGCATCGTGATATCGAAATTCAAGTTCCCTTGATGCCCTATTCAGGAGAAAAGATGACTTATACCAATCCACAACCAGAGTTAAGTAGAGAAAAACATAGAAAAACTACTCGAGGTGGTACACAACAAAATCTAGACAAAAGCACTGATGACTGTTGTTTTCACAAATTATAAAAAGAAGGAAAAAAGATAACACAATTAAATTAGAATTTGAGGCGAAGCCCATAAACCTGCAAATGTACAAAACTTGTACCGAATGCCAAACGTAGACAAACTAATAGATAAGTAGATAAGGTACGCCAGACAATCACAGAGAAAAAAGCCAGACAACTATTCTTATCAGTTTCAGATCTCAAACACAATTATAGCCATTTTAAACTAGCTGTGAAAACAGCTATTCAATGCAATTTTGAATGCAATTCAATGCAAGTTATTGAGAGAAAAGCAACAGGGACGTATTTTTTTCTTCGGGCTTCGATAAGCTGCCTAACATATCAACAGAGTTTCAGAAGACTATGAACGGTACCCTGAGCAACGCGAAGAGCCCATTCTGTTTTCTGCATGATATTCTGATAGTGTCTATGGGAATAAAAAAAGATCTCATATGGTTTGTGGAAAAAAAAGAAGGAAAAAGAAGATGAGGAGAACTCAGCGTTGAAAATGTTAAGTAATGAATTCCTGAAAAATTAAGTGAAATGGTTGGACATCATGGGGTGACACCAAAAAGTCGAACACAGAATCAATTCTAAAATTAGACCTCTCAAAAACGCTGAAACAACTAAGAGTTTTCGTAGGCATTTTAGATTACCTTGCAAAGCTCCTACTTAACCTAGTTACGTTAACTGAAAAACTTAGACCGATAACGAAAATATATAAAAAATTAGAATCAAAAAGAAGAAACAATAAATAAAAAATTCACTGGACTTCTGCAAACACGAAAAATTATTTAAAAACTATTTCAAGCCAAATCCACAAAAGAGATGGTAAAAGATATTAAAATCTGAAGTTAGTCACATTGGTTTAGGAGCCACTTCAAAAACCAATTCCGAAACAAGGGTTATCATTTGTATCAAACATTTTATTAGCAGTATATCGGGCAAGAGTTTGGTTTAGAGTCTTCCTGTTTTGACGGGAACTTTAGTATCTAGATATCACCAAGCGATAATAACAGCCCTAAAGGCAAACAGAACAAGCAAAGCGCATCAACCTAGGATGACTTGATTGCCTGATAGATTAGTGCTATTGAACGGTTAGCAAAATTGATTTTCCTACTGCTATTGATTGGTTAGCATGGATATGAGAATTGTTTATTAAATCTGGAGGGAATTATTCGGGGAACCGTGTGATGAGTCAAAAATTGATGAAAAGTTTGCCGTAGTATCGATTGAAAAGTTTCATGAAGCACTTGGTTAGTAATGTATAAGAAACCAGTACAAGTCAACCTAATCAAAAACAGATCCAAAAGTTTTCTCTGCAAGTTACATAATAGTCGAAGCTAATTGATATAGAAACAGTTGGTTCGAAAACTAAACAAGACTGCTCGTATCAGGGCGAAGCTCTGAAAGTTCCGACTGCCTTTTAAGGTCTATGGAGCATTAATAAGATGAAAAATTTCAATGTAATAAAAAAATTTATTAAACTTTTTGAAAAAATTTGAGATTTTATGTAAAAACATCCCCCCACACGTCATATTAAGTACAAAGTGATAGATTTTGAGCCTATTAACAAATCAATTATGGCATATAAGCTTCCTTGAACCAATTTGGAAAATCATCCCCCCACACGCCATTTAAAGTACAAAAAGATATATTTTAACCATATAATTAACCAAATAATATTATAACCAATCAATTTTGGCAAATAAGCTTCTTTTAACCAATTTGGAACGATTTTAAGAAGGATTAACTCTCCACTTACGCGTTAATAGCGCGAAATATATCGCGCGTTAATTGTCCCAAATTGGCCAAAATGGCCATCTTTAAACCCCCATAACTTTAGGAAAAATGATCACAGGTGAAATATCTTTTCAAATTTTAGCTCAGGACAACTATACCTTTTGAATGATATAAAAAAATTCCGTCAAAAATGGCTAGTTAAAAAGTCGAAATTTGTCTGAAGAAAAAAAAAACCCACCCCGAGCAAAAATATTCAGTTACTTTCGTATCGAAAGACGGAACAACAAGACTGCTCGTATCAGGGCGAAGCCCTGAATGTTCCGACTGCCTTTTAGGGTTTTATGGAGCAGTAATAACATTAAAAAATGAAATGTAATAAAATTTAAAAAAAAAATTCAATTTGAAATTTTTTATGAAAATCATCCCCCCACACGCCATTTAAAGTACAAAAAGATAGATTTAGCTCCTTGTAACCAAACAATTATGGCAAATAAGCTTCTTTTAACTAATTTGGACCAATTTTAAGACGGATTAACTCTCCGCTTACGCGTTAATAGCGCGAAATATATTGTCCGCTTACGCGTTAATTGTCCCAAATTGGCCGAAATGGCAATCTTTAAACCCCCATAACTTTATCAAAAATGATCACAGGGGAAATATCTTTTCAAATTTGAGCTCAGGACAACAATACCTTTTGAATGATATAAAAAAGTTCCGTCAAAAATGGCTAGTTAAAAAGTCGAAATTTGTCTGAAGAAAAAAAAACCCACCCCGAGCACAAATATTCCGTTACTTTCGTATCGAAAGTCGGAACAAAAAGTCCACTCATATTGAAAAAAAATGCACTAAAGATCGACAAACGCGCAAGTCAAACAGCATCGCAAGTCAAACGCGCGAGTGGTTTCATATTTTTGCAAAAAAAACTAGTTGATCGGGAAATGAGAAATTACTAGAATGAGCAAGGCAAAAATGAAATTGAATTTGCCAGTCACTACGGAGGGTATGATGAGAAGAAATTGATCAGCTCTCAAGCTTCAAAGGAAAATGATTGAAATTCTTTGCTCTAAAAAATAAAAATCAGAAAAAAAATTTGTTCCGTTTGAGAACATACAGAAAGAGGTCTGGATGAAAGCGCAATACAGACAGATGAAGGAAGTTTTGAAATAATGCTTATGTATAAAGAAGCAAAATTAAAAAAACTGAGTTAAAACTTGTTAATTTGGGATCTAGAAATTGTTAATTTAGGCTTCTTCGCTTAGAATTTTGGCCATAAACTGCTGCAACTGCATAAGAGTTGGAATGCAAGTTGGATGAGTAAATTGGAAAGGAAAACATCAAAGACGAAGAAACAAACAAATAAAAGCCCAAACAATTAAGCCTAAACAAGCCCAAACAATTAAGCCTAAACAAGCCCAAACAATTAAAAGCCCAAACAATTGCCTAAACAAGCCCAAACAATTAAAAGCCCAAACAATTAAGCCTAAACAATGATCGTTAAAATTTTTTGACCGGCAAAAACTGAAACTAGAAAACATTATTTGTATTTATCATGCTGGTAAAAAGTTGACATAGTGGCAAACTTTCCCGAAGGAGGGTGAATGTGCCACTGCTACGACATTAATTTATTATTATTAACTATTGTTATTAACTATTAGCTGATGTAATACCGGTCAAAGTCATGGTCAGCAACATTGAACGACCAACATTTAATTTTTCATGATCATAGATATCTCCGCCCCCCCCCCTCCCCCCAAATTGATAAAAAATTAACAGTTTTTTTCTTAAATAAAACTGGATCGATTTCACTTCGAAATGCTAGCTGATACAACGAACCTTAAATCAATTTAAAATTATTCTCAAAATACGAAATATATGAAAATTAAAAACGCATTTGAGCTCATAACTGTCAAATTTTTGTGTAGAAAACGGCAAAAAAGAGGAGTAAAGAGCCAGTTTGAAACCAGCTTATTTAAGTAAACTGTTTCTTTGACCAGTCATAAATTACTGTTTTGCCTTTCTTAGTAATATCGATCTAATTTTGGTGTTTATTTTTCACCTTTTAGGAGAGTATCATGGAAAAATCCAAGTTGCCAATCAGCTTCACTGGCCTTTTTATTTCGTATCGATCTTGAATCAAGCTGCCGTCATTCATTTGTTTGAATATATCTTTGAAACGATGTTGCCATTTTGCTGTTTTATAGGGCTATCTAATTTGCAACCCTTTTAGTTCATAGTTCCGATCACAAATGAGTCTTCGTCACCACAAGCCTACCGTCAACTATATTGTTATTATATTAGATACTTTTTCTGTCGTTCAAGAGCCCGATGACTTGCCCGGTCTGACGCAGTCCAGCACATCTTTCTCCTACTCCGGCTCGGTGACGTCATCTTTGTCTGGATTCGAACTGGATAACATCAAAGTGATGTCGGGAGTAGCGAGCAGGGTGTCTTATGTGGTGACGACAACGGATGACAGCTCAATTGTAAGTAAATTGACCATTTAAACTCATCGTGTTCTTTCGCCCACCCTCAGAAATATAACGCCAAAAATTTAACGTAACCACCCGTGTTGACCTTCCTTCACCAAAAGAGCGCTAATTGTGCAATTCCATGCAACACCAAGGCTAGCCGGTTGCTGTGCAAGTAGCACAGAATGTTCCGACGTTCCGACAAAAGTAAATAAAAATTACCTTTTTTTTTCATTTTTTTTCTTCAAATTAGTGTCATTTCTTGTACGATGTGTGATGAGAAAACTATACAAATTGTATTACGTAAAGAAATAAGGCATAACTGACGTAAAATTGTTTTAAAAATGGCATGATCGCCTTCAAATAATGACAAATAATTTTTTTAAATGAAAAAAAATTTAAAAAAAAAATTTAAAATGTTTGCTTATTTTTTTGCTCTTAAGTGTCAGAAGCAAAAAATCTCATTTTAGTGTTCTATTGTGTCAGGCAACTGGGACGCGTCTTTTAGTACCGCTGGAATAAGCCAGACACTATCTGGCTTAAAATCCGGCTGCAAGTATTCCGTCGCACTCTCACCTATCTGCCTGGAAACAAATACAGCTAATGAGGTATCCAACAGCAAAATGTACATTTTTGACAAGTGTACATCGCCTCAGGCTCCGAGCGCCTTGTCGACTGCCAACTTTGACAACGTTCTAGAAACTTCGTTTCATGTCATTGGACTAACGGTTCTATCCGGATTCCACCACGGCTTCAAGGTCAGCAATTAGCATCCCAAAAACGGTCTTTTAAGTGCATTGCGCCCGTCAATTTTAACTCCACAAATTTAAGCAAAGCTCCGTGGTAGGTTAAATTTTGTTGTAATCGGCCCGAAAATCATAAAAAAAATTGTCATTGGCTTAGAGTGGAGGATACCTCCATCGGTATTTAAAAATTTATTGAAAATCGCAACATAATGTTTTTTTTGAAAATTTTTATGAATGTTCATTCTTTCAAGGTGGAGGTGACTAAAAATGACCAAAGCACCCAGACTGTTGAATTAACTAGAGCTGATTCTGTTTACGTTGTAAGCGATTTGGATGTGGGTTTTCGACACACAGTTACTATCACTGCGAGGTGTGAGAGTGGCGCAAATGATGTCGAATATGGAAACTCGATCACGTATCAGCAATGCACAAGTGAGTCTTATCTGTGAAATAATTTTTCGGTTTAATTTTTACTCGAAGGAAAATATGTAAAAGAGGTGTTTTCAAGGGTTTTTTTCATAAGGTTCAAGTATTGCATTCAATTATCATAGAGTTCGAAGACGCAAAATTTAAATATCTCTTTAAGATATTACAACACTTGGTTTAAGATATCCGGCCGCAAACATTAAAACTAGAAGTTAAACTCTTTTTCCTTTAACTGTTGTTTTTAAGCGAAATAAGAAAACCAGTTGCTGTGTATGAAGCGCAGAAAGCTCCGACCATAATAAAAAAAACTATAAAAACACTTTTTTCTTGCGAAATTGTGTTGTTTTTGCGGGTGGCGTGGTGAGAGAAACAGGACAAAAAATTGCTACATAAGTTTGGCATACTCAACTACGGTTGTCTTTAGCCTTCAAAAAAACTAAGAAACAAATAAACTTCCACAAAATCCAACATTGTTTCAAGTTTTTGCAATAATTTTTAATTTTTCTTGAAACCTTTTTTATTGCCAAGCAGCGCTGCATGAAGCTTCAAAATCTGATTTTTCTGGGTTAAAGCTAAATTTTTATACTCAAATAGAAGCTGTTTTCTTAATTTTTCTGGTTTTAATGATGTCAAATTTTCCCTTTTTTAATCGTCAAATCAGCACTATGCTCAAGGCACTAAAATGATACATCACCTGCGCCATTCCAATGATTATTTGAGCTACTTGATTTTGCATGAAAATAAAACGTATAAGCAAGTAAAGAGAACCCAAAAGCAAACCCGAAGACATAGTTCATCCGCCTTTTCAGTGGTCGAAACGAAAGTTCATGATGATAGAATTGTTTTGCAACAATACTAGAATTTATTTTTCAAATGGTGTAAATTGTGACACGGAAGTTTCAGCCAATTAATTAGCGGCTTTACCGGGTTGATCTCCTTTGACCAAAAATTCTACTCATACAAATCCATAAACTAAGTCAATGAAAAAATACTGGTCATACAAATTTCATAAATTTTGCTGAAATTGTGTCATCGAAATTTCAAAGAAATTTTTCTTGTTTTGGCTTAAATTTTGGTGTATCGTACTAAATGAAACAGAAAACTTCTTTGTAAGAAAATGCTTATCATACAATTTTCAAACATGACTCAGGAAATTGTATGACTAGTATTTTTTTGATGGCGACCGCAACAATTTTTTCTCAAGTAATTTTGAAATTGTCGCAAACATTATTTTTGTGTTTTTTTTTCAACCGCAAATTGAATATCGTTATCAAATGGGCTTTTTTCAAAACAATGTTTGCATGCAACATTGATTTTTTGTGTGCATAACGTAGTCCTGGATTTTGGATTTTGGACAAATATTGGATTTTTTTCCTTTTTGCTATATAACTTTTTTCGAAAACGCTAAAAACGCTTATTTCTTTGCATGCCATGTTTATGTTTGCTTTGATCAATTTCGAAAATTTAAAAAATCAAAACTTTAAAAATAACCACCGTTGAAAATTTCTGCCAAATTTTAAAAGTTTGTTACTTTCGTTACATTATTTGTGTAAGACAGAATTAAGTCATTTCAGTCCGTTTCCAATGCATTTTTAATGCGAGACGGTCAAACTTTTGGTTACTCTTCGTTTTAGTAACCAAGATTTTTGTTACTTGTATTCAATTACGAACACAACCAAAATTTTTGAGAAATTAATATGCAAAAATCTATATTTTTGGTTTATGGAAAACCGCTAGTCATACAATTTCCGTATATGAAAAATCACTAATGATAGACTTTTCATGCAGTTTTATGTACTTATGAAATTGCATTAAAAGTGTATGACTAGCATTTTTCCAAATATGAAAATTGTATGAGTAGCATTTTGGTCAACCAGGGTATAGGGTTAATAATAGGTTATTATAGAAACTAAAGGGTGATTTTTGAAAAAAAAAGTTTCAAATTTAAATCGACCTTTCTATTTAGGTCAGCAAACTTGGAAAAAATTTGATGTTTCAAACTTGAAGAAAAAACCTATTTGCCAATTTGAAGCCAAAATTATATTTTTCTGTTAGGAGACATCTTTTTGATCATAAGCAAGCTTGAAAGAATTGATATCTGAAAGTTTTCGTTTTTCGCGCGTGCTAGTACAAATTTTATAGAATATCACGACGGCAAGTATCAAGACCTAACTTCCAAAAATAATGTTTTCAAAATAAAAATGAAATTTGAAATTTCACACATTTTTCTGTTGCTTGAAAGATTTTCCAACATATTTATTTATTTTTGAACTTGAATCAGGAAGATTTTTTGTCTTCAAGTTAATCCAAAAAATATGAAAAATGTGAACATCCAAAAAAATTTCTGACCACTCCTTGCTCAAGAAAACTCATGGATCTAAAAATTATTACTGTTATTTTGGGTCGATTGAAAAAATAGAATTGCCCAATAAATGAAATAGATGAGCGATTTGAACGTTCAGCAGGAGAACCCGGTTACTATACAAAAAACACGCAACCACAGTGTTTTTTTGAAAATATTGAAAAAATGAACCGAAAAACAGAACAATTGTCATGCTTTATAGTTTATTACGAGAACAAACTGTGTATTTTGTAAAATTTTAGGCGAGTTCCGAAACAAGGACACTCCCTTTGTTCTTATTTTGCTCTTTCAAGTTCTTTGATCTTTGACAAAAATTTAACTTGTGTTGAAAGACTTATCTCTTGATTCCAGAGACATACAAACACCAAATTGTTTGCCTATCTTGTTAACAGTTTTGCCTCGTAGTATATTGGTGTCACGGGAGGAGTTGAATTGAGGACTAAAATTTTTTTGATGTGATGATTCTTTCAATAACTAAATAATTGCAAAAATAACTTTGTTAGATATGCTTAGCACAGTATGCGAGTGGATGTTAAAATAATAATTTGAGTGCTTTGAGAGTAGAGAGCAAAAACACTGGTAAGAATGCAGAATTTTGACAATGATATTTGGAAACGTTCACATAAAGTTTCCTGATGAAAATTTTTTAAACTTTGATTTTGCCACAAATTTGATTTATGTATTTTACAAAATTAAATGCTTGTCTTCTACTAACGCAGTGATCAAAGCTGTTTCAGTGCTACAAAAAACCTGGTAGTTCGATCACCAAGAAACAAGTGTGGCAAATAGATTGTCAGCTTTCTTTAGTAATTGAAAAATATAACTTCTAAATTTAAAAATTACTTGGAATACCAATTTTCACCTGTATTATCTACTTTATAAACTTGAGTTACGATAAACACTCCTAAGTATTGGAATAGATGCTATACTATCTTGCACAGGCGCGGATGCGGATCTAGGAATTTCTCGAGGGGGGCGGATTTTCAAAAAAAATTTGAAAATTTTGTCGACCCTTTTTTTTTAGGTCGACCAAATTGATTTTCTGAGCTCTCCCAAACGACTAAAAAGACCCTGTTTTGGCCAAAATTTCTGCGCCGCAGGCAAAATTTTGAAAAACAGGCCAAAATAGCGTTTTTAGGCACTTTTTCGAAAATTTCGACCAAAAATTGCGTTTTTTCGGCGCGCGCTTCCCCCTCAAAATTAGTATAGATTGGCGCCGAAGGCACCTTCAGAAAATTTTTAAGGTCAGTCAGCCAAAAAAGGATTTCTCAAAATAGTAGAAAGGGGGGACCCTTTGGGTCGGCAGGGGGTCGAATCCCTGAAAGGTTATAATTATATATATATCGCCTCATTTCGGTTATAATTTTGGACTAAATAACAGAAAAGACATTTTGGGTCGTATAACAGACATGAAAATCATTCATTTAGTCATTATCAAAGCGTCCCCAACTACAAAAACTGTAAACGAGGTGTCCATGCAAGATTCCTGTAGTCTTACAAATGATCACGTGTTTCCACGAAAAAAAAATTGCGGTTTTACTAAACCAAGTCTCGTGAAAAATGTAGTTAGAAGTTGACATTTAAGTTTGAGCCCCCCTAACTGGTTTCTTTTTCTTTTCAGAACCCTCAATTGTTGACGTGAGTTCAGTTACCATTTCATCCGTTACATCTTCGAGCTTCACTGTCAATGGTATAGTACCATCCAGTGGAACCTTTAACACTAATGTTCAAGCAACAGCCACTTGCCCTGATGACTCATCTTTTCAAACTGCTGACAGCGTGACCTCTTCTCCTGAAATTGTGACGTTCACAAGTTTGGTAGCAGGATGTAAACATGGCATAGTGGTTACCAATTACTGCGAGAGTTATGCCTCTGAAAATATCGCGACGGCGCCTTCACAATGCACAAGTAATTACTGATACATTTATTACAACAGTCCTCCAAAAGCTAAATCATCGTTTCATGAAATACTAGGTTAATAAATTTATAAGACTTTAAAAAAAAAGAAAACAGATAAATAATCAATATAGAGCCAGAAATTTGCCCAAATATTTATCTAAAACCCTTACTTAAAATCATCTGAATTTTTAAAATTGTTTGTTGAAGAACAATGAACTGGTAAATAAATTGAATATCTTATTAATAGTTCGAAGTCAGTTAATTTCAACTTTATCGGATACTTTGTTCCTCGTAGAGCCCGAAGCAGTTTCCTCTGCTTCGCGATCCGAGCGGACATCTTCCAGCATCTCGGTCGGGTCAGTGGCCGTAGGAGGTAGCGGATTCTTCAACAAGTTCTCAATCCAGGCTTTCTTGGGCAGTGTTGAAGCGTCCACCGAAGTTTCATCAACCTCAAGGCTCTTTTTTTTGTATCTAAACACCTCGCCATGTATGCATGCTTAATCATGTCAAAGCATTGTTTTAGTGTTGTGAACAAACAAAAGTGAAGTTCATGTAGGAAAAGCTTCAATGGGCTACAAATCAATTTTTGAGTTTGTTTGAATCCGATCTCAAAACATAACAATTTGGCAAAATTTATAGTAAAATTTCTAGAGGTTTCAATACATCATGAAATTATTTTGATTATTGACCGGGTAAAAAAATCATCTGGTAAAAAGAAGATTGAAGAGAAAACAGCAAATCACTTCATCTCGTAATTTAAAAACAAACAGAGAAAAAATGTTATCTGGTACTTTAAAAACAGAAAAAACTTTTTTATCCGGTAATGTAAAATCAAACAGAAAAATTTTGTCTGGTAATTTAACAACAAACTAAGTGAAGAGGGAGAGAAAAAAGAGCCAAATTTAGTTCGGAAACAGTGGCGATAGATGGTCTTGTTCCTGGCACTCGGTACAGCTTAAAAGTGTACTCATTCTGTGACGATGAGAAAACGGCGGGGACAGCTCATATCATGGCAGACCAATGCACAAGTTCGTAACTATTCTGGTTATTGAGAAGCAGTTTTTTTGATACGTTTTTTTGTCAATCCAAAATCAGGTACAAAGAAAGAAAGTACGGTTTCTAGTGATGTATCATAATACATTATTGATATCAGTCATTTTTATACGCCAACAAAAGTTAACAAGAATGCTTATGGAGCAGCAGTAATAACAAAAAAAACTTAAATAAATTAAAATAAAATGAATTTTTTTTTGTCTAAAACTTGAAATTTTTTATAAAAATTATCCCCCCACACGCCATATAAAGTACAAGAAGATAGATTTCGTTCCTTGTAGCAAATCAATTATGGCAAATAAGCTTCGTTCAACCAATTTGGAACGATTTATAAGACGGATTAAATCTCCGCTTACGCGTTAATAGCGCGAATTATATCGCTCGTTAATTGTCCCAAATTGGTCAAAATGGCAATCTTTAAACCCTCATAACTTTACGAAAAATAATCACAGGTGAAATATCTTTTCAAATTTAAGCTCAAGACAACAATACCTTCTGAATGATAAAAAAAAATTTGTCAAAAATGGCTAGTTAAAAAGTCGAAATTTAACTGAAGAAAAAAAAAACCCACCCCGAGCACAAATATTCCGTTACTTTCGTATCGAAAGTCGGAACAATAAATATTTAAAGTTCATGATTTTCCTTCCTGCTAAAAACTACGAACAAACATTACAAAATTATTAGAAAAAAAAGAAAGACAAATTTTTTAAATTTCAAGATTGTTACTGTCAAAAAATTCAGTTTCACTTGCATATCAGCTGACTGCTGACTGTTCTTGTTCATTCAAGACCCTTGAGAGCAGTTGCAGATTTAGGGGAGGGGGGGCGGAGGGTTGGACGCCTTTCTCTCTTTTAGGGACTCGACCCCCTAACGACCCAAAGGGCTGTTTGTGATATTTTGTGATATCCATTTTTGACCGACTGACCTAAATTTTTTGTAAGGGTACCTTTGGTGCCCATATATACTAACTTTGAGAGGAGCGCGCGCCAAAAAAAACCAATTTCGGCCCGTTTTTTCAAAAATAGAATCTCTTGGCCCAAAACATAGTCTTTTCAGTGCTTTGGCAGAGCAAAAAAATTTCAATTTGGCCGACCTAGAAAAAATCGACAAATTTTTTGAATGATTTTTGATAATACACCCCCTCGAGAAAATCCTAGATCCGCCTCTGCTTGAGAGAAAACGAAAATTAACTAAAATTTATTTTGGCATCACTTGAAGCTAGCACATAAATTTTGAAAAAAATATAATATAGCTATTTGAAAACAATATATTATTAATTACTCACCTTTTGCAAAAAAGGGAATCGTTTCAAGGTTCGAAAATTGCATAAGCTTAACTAATCAAACATTTCTTGATAGAATGGGGCTTCGTTACACGGTACCATAGGGTGGTAATAGTTAACAAGACTGCTCGTATCAGGGCAAAGCCCTGAATGTTCCGACTGCCTTTTAAGGTTTATGGAGCAGTAATAACATAAAAACATTAAAGGTAAAAAAATAATAAAAATTTTATTTTTCTAAAATTTGAGTTTTTTTATGAAGTCATCTCCCCACACGCCATATAAAGTACAAACGAATAGATGTCGCTAAGAGTAACAATCAATTATGGTAAATAAGCTTCTTTCAACCAATTTGGAACGATTTAACTATCTTTTCAAATTTAGGCTCAGGACAACAATAGCTTTCGAATGATAAAAAAAAATTACGCCAAAAATGGTTAGTTAAAAGTCGAAATTTGTCTGAAAAAAAACCCACCCCGAGCACAAATATTCCGTTACTTTCGTATCGAAAGTCGGAGCAACAAGATCCTGAAAGTATACAAACATCCGATGAGGCAAGCATAAAACAGTGCAGTCACAAAAAAGCAAGGCTGCTTGTATCAGGATGAAGCCTTGAATGTTGCGACACCATTTAAAGCTCTATGAAATAGTTTAATCTTATTAATTTTGCTTCAAAAAGTGAGCAATTTGTTTATTATTTACAAAAGTTTCAGGAAAAAAAATCCACAAGAAATTTGATCATAAACTGTAATTTTTTGAGGGGAGCGGTGGTGAAGTGGTTACGTCTCCGCCTCTCAAAGGGGAGCGGTGGTGAAGTGGTTACGTCTCCGCCTCTCAATCGAAAGGTCGGATGTCCGAGGCCCACCATGATCTGTGCTCGTTGCTTGAAGGTGAGGCAACATTACCCAGCCCAGAAAATTAACCAAAAAAAATTGCATGTAGTTCTTAAACAGGGGCGCAACAGCGGTTCGCCGTGATGAGCTGTACAGCTCTTGTGTTGGTCCTTTCCCCCGTGGATAAATGGTCTTAAGTAAGCAGCCAACGCAAAGCTTCAAAGAACACTTTCAATTTTCGATTTTAAAAATGATGAACTATTTAAACAACAGATAAATATTTTTTTTTGGTTGTTTCGATGTTTCCAGTTTGATTTTTTTTAAATATATATACTTGAATTGATAGGCTTTTAAATAGATATAAATGAATCAGTACACTTTTATTGCCTAGTATTGTATTACGAAGGCTAAAAAATTTGCCGCAACATAATTTGAAATGATTTTTGTGCCGAATTATATAACCACTTACACTTTACTTCTCCAAAAAAGTATCGCGTTTTACTTATCTCAATTGGCAACGTTCAAACCTTTTCAATGTCTTTCTAAATTTGGGCTTTTGTCATCTATAGTTTTCAGATAATTAAAGATACAAAAAATGGCTGCTTCTAAAATCCCACGGATAATCTCAACAAATATGGTTTAAAGAGGACGACTTCAAGCTGAATATTCAAAATCTTTCATTGAAATTCAGGCAATAATGAACACTATGAAGTCAAATTTGAACTAATAAGTTACAATTTTTTTCGCGTGCTTCTTTATCGAAAAACGATTGAGTTCTAATACAATTCCTGTAATGATTTTTTGTTTTGACATAAAAACAACCCGCAAAAAAACATCTAAAACAACATTACAGAGAACAGTTTTGTTGAAGTGATCAAATTACAAATGTGAATTTGAACAATAATTTGGTTAACAAATTTTTGCTTCTGTCTCATATAAAATTATGTTTTATTTACTCAAAGCCCAAAAACCAGAATAGCATAAAGTTAGAGCTAATAACATAGACAGCAAATCAAAATTTTGTTATCTAAACAAATGTTATTAATTAAACGCGATTGAAAGAAAACTCATAAATTTTGCACTTAACTTTTTTTGGAATTTATCTTTCCGTACTCCAATTCAAGAAGTTAATATCTTCATAACAAAAATTGTCATTACGATTGACAAATTGTCGGACAAAGGACCATCCTGACCGAAAACGTTCCGTTAACTTTTCAAAAATCAGAACCATAAATATTTACTTTTTTAAAACTGATTAAAAACACAACTCACACACTCAATCGAAAAAACAATCCAATTTACAAAACACTTCTGTGAAATTTACCCGGCTTTTTAATTGAAAACAACTGAGTTCTATGAGTTCTAATGTTTTTGTGTCTGAGAGTTTGTTTCTTGTGGAAAAGTTTGAAAAAACTACAAAAGTAACTATTCAGGGACATTTCATGAAGAAACTGACCGGAATTGGTGTTTTTTTTTAAATAAATTCTAACTGATTCTTGTTTGATTAATTTGACGTATTTTGTTTTTCAGAAAAAGCATTTGTCAACAAGCCGTAATAAATTAAATTTTATCTACAATCTTAGATGTTTGCGCCAAAAAATTTAAAAATTACGAAATTGAAATGCACTTTTACTTATTCTTGTTTGATTAATTTGACGCATTTTATTTTTCAGAAAAAGAATTTGTCAACAAGCCGTAATAAACTAAATTTTATCTACAATCTTAGGTGTTTGCGCCAAAAAAATTAAAAATTACAAAATTGAAGTAAACTTATACTTATTCTTGCTTGATTAAATTAACGTATCTTGTATTTCTGAAATATTTGTCAACGAGCCGTAATTATTGAAGTTTTATCTACGAAGCTAGACAATTTTACCAAAAAAAAGTTAAAAAATACAAAATTAAAATAAAATTTTATTGATTCTTGCTTAATTAGTTTGACGTATTTTGTTTTTTAGAAAAAGCATTCGTCAACGAGTCGTAATAACTGAAACTTTTTTTTCTACAAAATTAAACGTTTGCATCAAGAGAAATGTTTGGCAATAAGTTTGAATTCAGCAAAACTTGGCTGGAAAGACTGATGAAATTGTAATTAAAAAGGTGCCTTGAATGCTCATTTAGGGCAAACATTATAATATTTGAACTTTTCAACGTAAAACAACGGTTCCCTGATTAGATGCTTGCAAACTAAGGCATCCAAAAAAACTCCAAAACCCAAAAAATAATCAAAATACATAATAAAAATTAATTTTAAAAAAAGTTGCAAGAAAAATTTAATATGTTTTTTTTTTGTGTTTCTGGGAGTTGCGAAATCAAACGTAATAGCGATTCTGAAATTGAGTCGGAGCTAGATGAATCATCCTTTTAACTAGTTCTAGTTTTTGGACTAAATTTAGAGCCTGCAAATCCAGAAGGAGTTACAATTTCAACTCGACAGCCAACCGAAGTTACCCTCCAATGGACAATGCCAACTAGCGATGCAGATAGTTTCTCATACCAATTCACAAAAGACGACCAGGTAAGTTTCTGTTGAAAAAAGTATTGAAGAAGCTATCTGAATTATACGTGTCCCAAATAACATATACATGTAGTTATAAATTCACTTTGTGTTCGACTTTGTTTCGACTGACTCGGTTTTATGTTTCGACTTTGAAATCGCTTGTGCTGTAAATTGTGTTCGACTTTGTTTTTCGACCTTGTGTTCAATTTTATGTTTCGATTTTGTGTTAGACTTTGTGTTCGACTTTATGTTTTGACCGACTCGACTTTATTTTTCGACTTTGAGTTCGACTATAGGGCCTTCTCGACTATGGATCTTCGGTCAAATTCTGACTTTCGTTCGACCCACCTCGGTCGAAACTTAAGTCGCAAACCTCGACCAGGGATGCTATAGTTCTCAATATAGACAAACAAAACCTAACATTGTGTTAATAAAACGTGTGTGTGTATGTGTGTGTGCGTGTGTTTGTGTTTGTTTTTAAGTTTGTGTTAAGGAAATATTATGTTTTTGGCAAAAAACAAGGAGTGAACATAATAAATCGAATCAAGGTAATATTGAGGCGTCCTCGACAGGCGCACTTGACAGGCTCACTGCATTTGAAGTCCTCCCAATGGTACTAACTGTAAAAATACTTGAAAACGAAATTATTTTTATATGACATTAAATAAGATCAAAGAAAAAGAGCAATGTTGCGGATTCCGCGATAAATCTGATTTTGACCTGTTGCAGAGTCCACTTAAATTGCACAGAATGCATAGTTTGGCCTCGTAAAAAACTTTTTTTATTAATAATTAAGGTCAGCTTTCAACCGAAATCTGTTGAAATTTTTAGTCAAAATTTTCACAGGATCTTAAGTTTTCAATAATACAAATTAAGTGCATTTGATTTCTAGAAAACAGGTAAGCTATAAAAAACTAAGTCACGTCTTCTTTTATTTTTTCCAAAATTTTTTCCTTATAATTTACACTCTAACCATTTGCAATTATAATATTTGGAAATTGAAAAGGGTCCAATTTATGTTCAACCAATTATATTTCCAACGCGAGGCGACAATTCGCAATTGGCGAAAATTCGTAACAAGCGACAATTTGTAACATTATATTGAGCGCAGAACACTTATTCACGCACAGTATTCCGGATGAAAGCGCAGCAGAGCGAAGCAGAGCGAAGCAGAGCAGGCGTATTCTACTTACCAATGCCTTGTTAAGAATTGTCGCGTGATAAGAATTATCGCTTGTTACGAATTGTCGCTGGTTACGAATAGTCGCCTGTTATGAATTGTCGCCCTATCCTTTTCCAATACCGTAATAGATTCTAACTGGAGTGACAGATACTGCCTCTCCCTACGCATTCTCTGGATTGAGTTCAGGCACTTGCTACCAGCTGGCGGTGGGTGCCATCTTCAGATGCTCAGATGCAGATACGGCAGTAGATAGTGACGCGTACACTAGTGTCGAAGGGTGCACAGGTAATGCAATAATGATTTGAGTTTCAATTTCATTATTTTGAACCATTTTTTAGCAATCTTTTTTCTTCGGTTATCAATATAACAAAAATATTTATGTTCAATATTGTTCAGTAATTTTATGAAAATTGCAGCTGAATTTTTTTTTAATGATAATTGCAATGAAATGTTTGGATACTAATTTCGTTAAAAGTTGAAAATTTGTGAAGAGAAGGCAAAAAATGAAAAACAATTATGCAGTTTTTTCAAACTTTTTTAGCTCCTGCCGACGTAACCACCTTGACGTACTCTGTAGTTTTCAACAATAACGACGACCCTGATCTTACAGCAACCAGTATCAGGTAACAATCAATGACCACCAATTAGTTAAGTTAACCCTTGTATATAATACTCCAATTTTTTTTCGAATAATTATTGAAAAAAACAATTATTACTGACCATCTTTAAAATCGAGATTAAACGAGTATAGTTTTCTGGATCGCTTTTTCACTGGATTTTAAACGTAATTCAACTGATTATTTTTTTTTTCAATTTTTAAATTCTAAATTTGGTTCCACTCAAAATACGACGTTTTATTTTGTATATCAAGGTAAGAAACCATAATAACTCTTTCAAAATTTTGAAACTGACTAATAAGTTCCTCATTTGCTCTTAAGAATGATAGGCGCGTGGTCTTCTGGATACATTGACGGGTTTCAAGTCATAGTTCAAAGAGCCAATATGGCTGACCAAACCAGAACTGTGTCTCTGGGCCTGGAAACAAACTCCGGCAGCTCCCAGTTGACAGTTGATGGACTGACTCCAGGACAGCAATACACTCTGGAAGTCAAGGGAACCTTTAGGACAGCCACTTCAGCTAATATGTTTCCGACAACTTTTTCTACTTGTGAGACTGCACACAAATAGCTTAATATGAAAACAAGAAAAAACTGGAACTTTTGGCTGAAATTGTCAAACTGAAAATAAGAAAAAAGTAAAATTGCTTGCAAAGCGTTGAAGACGTCGGTCGCATTTGTGCTTTAGAAATTGAAGAAAAAACTATCGGTTAAGGTTAAAATTACAAATAAGGTTTAATTTTTTTTTTTCATTTGCGACGAATCAGAACCAAAAAATCAGATTCCCTTTGACGTAATTTAGTCGGCTGCAATCCTGGCAACTGCGAGGCATTCGCCCCAGACGACTACAGATGCACGGCCGGCTTCCTAGTCAACGAGCAGAGTGGAAACTGCGAAAGTAAGTATTGAGATCGGACCAAGTTAACATCCCCTCCCCCCAAAAAAAAACAGCTTTGGGGTGGGGTTAGGGGGTGGGGGGATTAACTTGGTTTTAGTTGAATTTTTCAGTCAATCAGAATCGATGTTTTACATGCAGCGCTTAGCAAACTAGTCCGAATTAATTGCTGAGGTGGAAGATCTTTACTTGTGTATCTGGGGAAAACCAAAATAGGATTTGCTTTCTTAGAGTTAGCATTTTTCCGAATGATGACGGGGAAAAATACCAGCGATTTTAATTCAGATTTTGATTTCAACAGTTAAGCTACTGGTGCTGATATTTAGGATGAAAGAGATTATTCATGTCAATATAGCTGACAGTGTGGAAAATTTCTGAACTTATGCCGAGCAAACTGATTAGCCGAGCTCTCCTATAACACTAAAAAGATTCAATTCGGCTAAAACTTTCTTTTCAGCAGTCAAATTTTAAAAATCATGTACGACCACTCCCCCCTTCTTTTTTTTATAGAATTAACAGGTGATGGTTGATTCTGAGCAGGGGCTGCTTTCAGAGCAATCAAAATCAAATTCGAGATATCTAACCGGTCTCACTTTTATGCATTCATTTTCCAGAACATTGTACCGCAACAAACGATCCGAATTGTCTCGATTCTTCCGACCCCACTCTGCAATGTTCCGACTCATCCACTACATGTAACTGTGCACTAATGCATCAAGTGAGCTCAGACGGTTCCTGCATTGCTAATGTGTGCTCGTCTGATGATGGGAACTGTTTGTGTGCGAATCAGTTTGATGTGTCGCTATGTGGGTGTTTAGCAGGATACGTGATCCATCCTGCAGACGGACTGTGTTCAGGTTATTATGGACAACCGCCTCAAGCCAAAAATGAAAAGATCAAATAATGGAAATCTTTGAAAGCCACCATCAGTATTTCATAATCATACGAAATTTTTTTTGACGTTTCTCAATAAACAGGCGCTGAATTAAACACCGTTGACGGGTCTTTTTATACCCAAAAACATCTAAAAACTAAATGAACGAGAATTTTTTAGAAGCTAGCTATGGTTTTTGAGGGGCAGAGGACTTGGTTTAGGTTTTTAGACAACACAATTTAACTTTCCAAAGATAATGAACATATTGTTCCGACCATTTGAAAAACGGAGAGGAACTTTGCATTCGGGTGTTTTAGTTTTTTCTATTTTTTTTTCATTTTCCACACAAATTCAGCTACCACAAATAAACATCTGAGTTGAGTGGTATATCATTTTAAAGCCTGTTCAGTCGTGATTCAAACGACATTGGAAATCACCACAAAACTTTCCCAGTGTCGAGAAAAACCAGTTTGAATTTTTTTTCGAGTCTATTTTCGAGTGAGTGAGCAGGCTTACAATATATTTTTTAAATACCTTAAAGGCTTACAATTGCTTAATTTAAGCGGTAAAAAATTAGTTTTACTCAATTAAAAATATTTTTTTCTTACTATTTTAGAGCTTTTTTGGAAACAAAAACGTCAAAAATTCAAAAACAGCAAAAAAAAAGTGAAAATCTTTTTTGAGTTTTTTGTTTTTTGTTTTTTTTCTAATGATTTTTCTACAAAAATTGTTTTCTACAAGAATGTATCTGTCAACTATGCCTTCTAGTTTTTCGCTCAGATACTTTTATCACACCACGCAGGAAAAAAACGACAATAATTTGAAAAAAAATTTTGTTGTATTTTTAAGAGTATGGTCGGAACATTCTGTGCTATTTGTCCGGCTATCTGTCTCACTTATTCAATTCACTTTTTTCATAATAAGCCGGGCAATAAAACGCCACCGCGATGGTAGAGGCATCCAAAAACGGGCTGCAAAGTTCCACGGCGTTCTCACAATGAGATTTCATTTGTAAGATTCTAAATTTTACAGTGAATGGAATCTAAATTCAAAAAAATTATTATCTATTATTATTATTATAAAAGAATATGCTGCTAAAGAACTTGTCATTTTTGAAGCGCTGATGAGACTCTTTTTGGTTTTTACAAATATGGTTCATCTTAACCTTCGGTGACCCTGTCGCTGCCTGTATTCAGAACAGTGTTCGCCCCTGCAGCCCCACTGTAAAGACCAGACAGTAGAGGGCGTCATCTGTGACGTGGATGACGTCACGTGCAGGTGTGAACACACCCATTTCCCCCATCTGGTCACTGGGTCCACTGCTGCTGAGACATACGTCAAGTGTCAGGGTGAGTGTCCATACATAATGAAACTATTTGTTGACCTTGATTTATTTGAAATAGAATGGCGTGGTATTCAATTTTCTACTACAATTTTTAATTGAGCACCGGTTACTTTTATCATTTGTTTAAAAAAAAATCAGTAAAAAAACTGATCTTTTTGATCTAAACACCGAAAGTTAAAAGTAACTTTGGATTCGGGTGTGTTATTACCACGAGAAAGAAAGCGCGCAATTAGAGGAAGCTAGAAAAAAAGTCATCAATGGGTCGAGTGATTGATAAAACTTTACCCATTTCAGTTGTAGTTTGAGCTGCAATACAAAAATGCGGACTCGACTCAGGGATTCGACCCCCTGTCGAGCCAAAGGGTCCCCCCTTTATACTAATTTGAGTTATCCATTTTTGGCTGACGGACCCTAAGATTTTACTGAAGGCGTCTTCGGCGCCAATGATTATTAATTATGAGGGGAAGCGCGCCAAAAAACGCAATTTTTTGTTCAAAGTTTTCCAAAAAGTGCCTAAAAACCCTTTTTTGGTCTTTTTTTCAAAAGTTTGCCTCTGCGGCGTAGAAAGTTTGACCAAAATAGCGTCTTTTTAGTGCTTTGGAAGCGCTCGGAAACTCAATTTGGTCAAACTTAATTAAGTTCGACAAAAATTTCAAAATCCGCCCGCTCCACCTTGTGAAAATGCTAGATCCGTCCCTGATTTGTAGATTGTTCTCTTCATGGCCGCTTTCTTCTCTTCATTATCAAAGATCAAACAAACCACCCACGAAAAACTTTTTTTAGAAAAACTACAGTTTTCACCTTGTTTGGAAAACTTCTTTTGCTGTTTGCTTAAGGAACCGGCTAACTAACCATAATAAAATGTATTAGTTTGAAATGTCTATTTTTTCCTTCAGCCCTGGAGACCAATTCAACACACACTCTCTGCATTCCTTCATCTTCTAACGGAGCCTGCGTCTGTACGAGTCCAACTGACGTGACCACCTGTACTTGTGAGACAGGATACACCAACCAAGTAGACAATTTGGCCCAGTGTGTTGGTAAGTTTACTTTTGCTCGGTACAATTGATTGCAGCAATCTTCAGACTGTGCTTGGAACTATGTTCAGTTTTCATTTAGAACAATTTTCACTTTTGACTTTTTTGGAGTATGTTTTCAGATTTTGGGGTGTTATGCACTAAATTTCTACAGAAGAGAAAAAAAATATTAGCCAGTTTAATTAAACAGTTTAAAATTTTTATTTTTCAGTAATATTATTTTTCAGAAAAAATGTAGCTAGTTTCGGCGCCGATTCCGGTCCGGATCCCGGCGGAAAAACTGCATTATTGGCAACAAAAGTGTGTTTTTTGGCATTCATCAATTTTCCGCTGCATTAAATCAAAATGGTACTTTTCAAACATCAGTTAAAATAACTTTCTTCCCTAGAATGTGGGTAATGGGTACGGTTCAAAATAAAGGCCTTCAAGATAGAAAATATCAGAAAGACTGAAAAACAACATAACTAACCTAGATTTCGAAGCAATAAAAAAATCGATCGCGAATCAACAATTATAAAAGCAAACAAGGATAGCCGGTTGCTGTGCAAGTAGCACAGAATGTTCCGAACTTTTTCCATATGAAAAATGAAAAAAAAAAATTTTTTTTTTTTGCAATACTGTTTTTCAAATTAGTGATTAGTAAAGTAGGCATAATCGAGCGTATTTGTCTCGAAAAATTGAATGAACAACAAATAAAAAAACCTTGAAAAAAATTTAAAATCAATCTCTAACTTTTTACATTTTTCGGCATTTCGGCTGAGCCGAAACTTACGATTTCTGCTTAGGATATTAAAAAATATATAATTTTTCTATAGAAAGAAGCAATAATTTTTTTCAGGAATTCAGTGCGTAATTAGTGACACCAACTGTATCTGCAAAGACGTGAACGAACCCACTTCATGTTTATGCAGGGCCGGAATGGGTCCTCAACCATCGGGCAACTGCGGGCGTAAGTTCGAAAATTTACCCATTGCTTTACTACGCTGGGAGACAATTCTTAAGAAGTGACAATTCATAAAAAGAGACAACTCGTTGCAAGGCTAAGTGCTTGGTTGCTATGGCTCATTTGCTTGAGCGTGTGGTAAGCAACGAAGATTCACCTTCCATAAAAAGATTGCGGCGATTTCTTATAGTTCAAAACTTACTGATGGAGAGCAGAGCTAAATTTAGGTGTTCCTCATAGCTATTTTTACACTTGCGAAGCAATGTGTTATAGTACGAACTTTCTTTTTTTTCCAACCGAAGTCACAAATATTGTTGCGACTTAAAGCAACAATATTTGCTGCATCGAATTGGCGATAAAATATTTTGATATTTTGTTGTACCTTTGCTATCTAGTTACACCTTTACAGCTCAGCTTATTGATAACATGTGCTTTTTTGAAATTCGGATAATTATAAGTTTACACGGTTGATGCATTTTTAATTCACCAAGTGAACCGAAGAAAGCTATTTGTTTCAAACAACATAACAATTATAAAATGTCGATTTCAAAAAGTTTCTAACTCAATATACCTCGAAATTTTTGAAATGCATAACTTATACATAATTTGACTTTATGATTTGCGATTTTTTACATTAGTATTGTATCTTTTTGTATTTGATGCTATTTTTGTTGCATCGATTTGGCAATTTATTAGCATATGTAGCTGCATTATTGGTGGCTAGTTTTGAGATTTCAAGCATCCGTGCCTGAATGGTTAGTGAGTGAGAATCAAATTTGCTAGGTCGCCAATTTTTGCTAACTCTGCTAAGCCTCAAGTTGTTGCAAATTCGAGGCTTATTTCTACTTTCTCTTATATCACTTGATAGAGCTGCTTTTTGGTCTTGATTTTGCAAGTGTTTGCGAAGCGCAGCTTCGCCTCTGTGTTAAAAGTTGGGAAAGTATATTAGATTTATTTTCCAAACAAGACTGCTCGTATACTAGGGCAAAGCCCTGAATCTTTCGACTGTCCCTTAATTCCTATCCAATAGTTTTTAAGGAAAAGAAAATATGGAAAACCTATAAATTTTGAGCAATTTTAAAGTCGCACAAAATTAACTTATATTTATGTTGAATTGTACAACGACCGATCTGATTAGCTAGCCTCAATTCATTTTGGAACGATTTTGTTGTGCGGAATAAGTCGCCACGCATAAATAATTCGCGTTACGCTCTCAGCGATATGAATAATTTCTTGAAAATGCGCATTCTTTAGTCCAAAACATGGCCAATTTGGCAATTTTCAACCCCCAGATTTTTACTAAAGTATCTTTTCAGATTTGAACTCAAGAAGTCGATAATGGGGTATAAAAAAATTTTGTCGAAAATTATTATTTCAATCGGCGAAAATTGACTGAAAAAAAATCCACACCAAGCATAAATATTCCGTTTTCTTCGAAAGTTGGAACAATGAAAATCATGTTAGAGATGTCATATTTTAAATATCATGAATTTCTTTTTGAAACCTTTAAGCATGAGATATAACAGATTTAGTAGAGTTCTCTTGTTATACAAGTATGTGCTCATAGAGGACCCAAAACGTAGATATATTATCATTCCGTCGGTTGGACCGATATTTCTCAGATTTTTTCAGCTCAATGCACACCAAACTCTGATTCTCAACCGAACACCAAATGCATGGAAACTGACCAATCAGGAAGCACCACGACTGTGCTGTGTACGCCCTCGAGCGCTACTGACTGTAAATGCTCGCCTGGCTATGGGGTGTCACACGAAAACGGATATAACAGGTGAGCTGAGATTTCACAAGCTGGACAACTTTTTCTACCAAAATTTTTCAATCTTTTAAGCTTGACCAAATTGAGTTTCCAAGCTCTTTCAAAGACCAAGAAAAAACCCTCTTTTGAAAAATAACAACAAAAACTGAAATTTTAGGCATTTTTGGTAAATTTATGGTATGATCTTCATAATGTAATTTGGCGCCTTTGAAAAAAATTTAGTGTCGGTCCCCATGTTGTTAGATGTCGAAAAACTGCATGAAATTTGGCATGCCTACCCAAGAGGAGACCACCTTTGTTATTTTAGCTATTTTAGAATTTCCTGTGGTATTTGGAAAGCAACTGACTTGCTAAAGCTGATTTCCTATTTTCAAATTACCAAAAATACCCGGTTGAACGAGCAGTTTGTTGGCTTAAACTAAGTTTCTGACTTAGAAGAAGTTTACCAATTATTTGGGTACAACAATTGAACTAAAAATTTGGCAGCTTATGGTAGGCCTGAAGCTTGAATTGAATTGAGTTGACAACCACCCAAAATGATTTGTTATATTACTGCTGAATCAAAAATACGATCTGACTACTTCAAAACCAACCGTTTACTAGTATTTTATTGTTTTTTTTTGCACCCTTGCTGTATAAAATTTGGGCGGATATTCAACAAACCGCCATTTCTTGAAGCCGAAATTACATCAGAGTTATGTAACAATTTTACGTAACACTGATAGTTTGTTGTTATCTTGCATAACAATATTAATTTTCGGCTTGTTGGAATGATAATCCTATTATCGGCTTGTTGACCCTTCTGTTTTCTGGCCTATCACCAAAATTTGACGTGCCTATTTGCCAAAAAACTATAAACGTATACGAAAACAAATATGACTGTGCTGATATCTGTAGAATTTTTGCGATCCGTAGTCAAAATTTGCGGGGTCACTCGAATTCAGAGTCAAGTCGTCAAAGATATTCCAAAACGTAGGTGGTTTCCACTTACAAAATGTCTGTGGAATCCACGCACAAAGACCTGTAACGTAAATTTTGTGGTCACATTTGTATGTCGCGGATTCCGCAACAAGCGAATATAGCTAATTGATCTGGATTTCGCAACTGAAAGGGTTTCCTAAAAATTCGCAAATGTGGCGGATATCGCAAGACTTTAAGTGGATTCCGAAATTTTGTTTATTAGTGTACCGAATTTATTATCTAGCAATTGCAGAAATTAAAAGCAGGGACTTAACCAATGTCAGTAGAAGCCAAGAAAAAATCTTGTATCATTGTTTAACTAAGTCGGTGGATGTATTTTTTAGTTTTCAGGATGAATTTCACAGGAAGCAAATTTCGGATCATTTTGAAACACAATCACTGAGTTAAATCAATAGGTTTAGTGAGTTGAGAATGTTGGGAAACACAACGCAAAATTCATAATATAACTTGATCTTTATTTAGGACTGGTGGATTGGGAGTGATTTCAATGTATCAAGTTCTTAAATGAGATGAGAGTGTCTCAAATGTTTCAAGTTATTTCAAATTGACAAAACTTCAAATGAAATAAGAGCAAAATATAATGGTTTATTGAAATGAGAGGTTTATTGGGGTTCATAAAGACCACCCGCAATTGTGAGATATTTATTTCAGCCTCAGTGAGAGATTTTTTGAAGGAGAGCATGAATTATATTGCAAAAATAATTTTATCAAATTGATTAACATTGCTCTCGATTGTTCTTCACTCTGGTTTTTTTCTAATTTGTAATTGTTTCGACAAAAATCAAAATTGCAACAAATTTTTAAAAATTTGAAAATATGAAATTGAGACGAACTGATGAATTTGTTTACTTCAGTTCGCTCAGTGAACAAGAATTGAGATCAAGCGTTTGAGTTGGCAAGAATTGAGATCGAACGTTTGAGTTGGCAGCAATTGAGAGTTGGCAGGAATTAAGTTGGCAGGAATTAGGTTTGCAATTGAGATTGAACGGTTGGGGGTGTCAGTCTTGAGAAGTAATTTAGAGTGAATTCGCTGGTGACCACCTGGTAAAGAAAAGATTCAATATAAAACGCTACAACTTATTTTACTGGAATCTGCTTACCAATGCGGGTTCCGCGTACAGTTACGGTGTCCGCAACGAAGCAATTTTACATATTCTTAAATTTGTTTGTGGATTCCGCAAACTGTTCTAAATTGCACATAGACTGTTGCTGGCTCCGCAAACTTGCCTGTTTTTGTAGCGATTTTGAGCGGTACAGTGTTTCATTTATTTGTTTGTGGAATCCAAAACAAAAAGGAAAATCAAAGAAAAGTAGCATTGTTGTGGATTCCGCAACAAATCTGATTTTGGCCGTTGCAGAATCTTATTTCATTTCACAAAATTCACAGTTTGGCCTCGTAATGGAAAGGTTGAATTTTATTACCAAACCGGTATATATGGCCTTGAAACCATATGAATGTTCTTTTTTGACAAATTTTTCAAAGAAATACTTTAAACATTCCCTCGCGTTTCAAAATTTACTTTTTCAGCCTATTATTACAAGTCATTATGAAAAAATGCGTGGTTTTTTTGCTGCAATACATGAAGAACAAATTTGTTCAGAATAGCTCAATTGTTACATTCCCGGGTTGACCTCCATACACCGAAAATGGTTATCATACAATTCCATACATCAAGTGTATGGAAAAATGCTTGTCATACAATTTTCATACAATTTCTAAAAATGGTTGAAAACTGGTATAAACTTATTTCTGTGGATGTTTGATTCTTATAAAACAGTCTGGTGATAAAAAACTGAGGTTCTCGTTTTTTTGAAAAAAATGCTCATCATACAATTCCCATATATGGGAATTGTATGACTGGCATTTTTTTGATGGCGACACAAAAAATTTTTCAAGTAATTTTGAAAATTTGGCCCAAAAAATTTTCTGTTTTTTTTTTTCAACCGCAAATCGAATTTCTTCGTACGCAAACAAACATTTTTCGAAATTTTTTTTTGCATGCAAAATTCAATATTTTGTGTGCATAACGTAGTCCTGGATACGATAAAATTGGCTTTTATTTTCTTTTCACTTAAATTTTTTTTTCAAAAACGCTGAAAATTCCTATTTCTTTTGTATGGGGTGTTAATGTAAGCCTTGATCAATGTCTGATAACTTGAAAATTCAAAAATTTAAAATAATCATCATAAAAAAATTTTGCCAAAAAATAAAAGTTCGTTACTTTTGTTATATCAATTGTGAAAAACATCCAAATTCAGGTCGTTTGCTATGCATTGTAAATGCAAGACTGCCCAACCTTTGGTGTTTCGAGTAACCAAGGTCTTTGTCACTTGTGTTCGGTTGCAAACACAACCAAAAACTTTTCAGAAACTAAATTTTGAAAGAAAAAATCAAAATTTTTGGTTTATGGAAAAACACCTATCATACAATATTCATTTATGGAAAAATCTTTATCATAGAGATTTCATACAATGTTTTGTACGTATGGCATTGTATGGAATTGTATGACAAGAAGTTTTTCATAAATGGAAATTGTATGATTAGAAGTTTTGGTCAACCCGGGTTATTTGCTTAGAATAGTTCGTTAGCTACATTATTTTCTGAAGTTGAAACTCAAGTATCTAAGGAAAATGGTTTGGTTTGTCTCACAGGTGTGTCGCAGGGTGCACTTCAACTAATACCGCACACGATGAAATAAACGTGAACAGTTTGTACGCCGATGAGGATAAGTGCACGTGTGTAGTGTCAACTGACATCAACAGCTGCTCTTGCTTGGCCGGATTCATTTTGGACCCAGTCACAGGCCTCTGTTCAAGTGAGCGCTCTTTACCCTCCCCCCTATCAATTTCAAATTTTCTATTTTTTAGTTGTTTTACGGGTTAATATGGCTAAACGCGTAGTGTTACGTGTGTGTTGTGTGTGTGTGTGTGTGTGTGTGTGTGTGTGTGTGTGTGGGTGGGGGGAGTGGAAAAGAGCCCAATTATAAGTACTTTGGAACTTGTGAAAACAAACTTTCTAATTGAAAAAGCAATTTTATCACTGAACAGGCAGTTTCCAAGGATCAGTAAATTTACCATGGTGTTAAAAGAAGCAAAAGAGCATTCGAAGAAATATTTAATAAGGTTGTTCGGTATCTGTTGAACTTTTTAACCATACTTTTTGTATAATCTTCCAAGTATCAAATAAAAGATTCAGATTAAGTCAAATCGAACTGCTTATATCCTAGTCTTTAATAGCTATTGCATATTTCAGAAAATTGTCATTATGCAGCTGACGAGTGTGTGAATACCGACTCAAGTGGGGTTCGAACACAGGACCACTGTACTGAGGCCAACTTCAATGCCGGCAACTGTCTCTGCGAACTTGGCTACTACCCCCACGTGGACATCAACAGCAGAGTTGACTGCCATTGTTAGATTTACGATTTGAGCCCTATTCTTTTTGCAGGGTTTTGCAAATTGGACGCTTTTCCATTTCTCATCTTTGATTTTTTCTGAAATTTTTCAAACTTGTGTAAATAATTTTTAGAACGCTTTAGATAGCAATTTTACGTAGGAGCAGGAAACTGGAAAAGCGGTGAAAATGGTTGCTAAATCTTTAAGTGTCAATGAACGTGTGAATATTTTTTTGAGGAAAAATTCTTTAAAATTTGTTCACGATGAAGTTTATTTTTCGCAATTTTTCGTTCAATTTTTTTTTAAGTCTTGCTCCATTATTTTTAAAAGGAAGGCAAACTCCACTATCGAACAACAAAAGTGTAAATTTTGCAAAAAAACTGAAAGACTTCTAATTTCGAAACTGGTTTTGTTCTTAGATTTCCCAGCGGAATAAAAAATGGGTTCATTTTATCAAACCGTGTCAATCAAAACTTCTTATAATTCGAGCTTTAAGGGCAAAGGTTTCTATCTTGGAACTTTGAAAATGTTCAAAACACAAGTAATGATTTTTTTATGTTTTCTTGCGTTCAGTGACACTTTTTCGGCTGCCTGTTGGCTATGTTTTGTCCTGCCTATATTGGCCCAATACATTTTTAATCTACAATTTTTTCTGTGATTTTTTCTTAATTTACTTGCATTTCAGGAAAAAACCAAAAGAAACACTAAATAATTTTATCATAGTTGTTCATTATGGGCGGCAAAGATACTAAACAATATGTCCACAATATGTCCACTATTAACTTTTCAGCCCTCATTTCTTCTTCCAACCAGTGTGACCCGAGCATTTCTCTTACAGGATGCGTTTGTTTCAACTACCACCGAATATCAACTTGCTCCTGTGGAAACAGTTACATCATGCAGAATACCAGTACATGCATAGGTAAGTATGGTCATCTAAAATTTCTGTTCACTTTGGTTCTTTCAAGCCATTCACAGTTTTATGACTGACTAGTAATAGCATGAAGTGAAGTAAATTGACAAATGGTGTAGAATTGGTGATTCTACTGTTTTACATGCTATAGCAACCTGAGCGTAAGATTGATTCGTCATTAAGCCAAGTAGCAGAGTAAAGAATTGGTTAATTAAACATAACTCGGTTTGGAGGTGAAATTGGACTTGATATTAGCACAACTTTGTTAGAGATGCCTATAATGAACTTGGAACTTAAGGCAAGTGTCGTCAGGGGAAGGATTCAGTTAAGAACTTGCAAAATAGGTACCAAAGTAAATGCCAGGACTTGTAAGGACGACATAACTCTAACTATAACTAAAACTCAAATAGACAAATATTATAGAGAATAACAAGCAGCCTACCCTTAGGCAGAACACTGGAATTACTAGAGAGATTAGTCGGTTCTCGTTAGCTAGAGAAGAACAATTGTGCTGTGAGAGCGAACGGTTGGTTCTCAGTTAGTTAGAGGACAATAATTGCTAGAGAGAGAGATAACTAGTAGTGAGATTATTTGGGTTCTCAATAGTTAGAGAATCAGGAATTGCGAGGTAAAGAGATCAGTCAAAGTACCTCAAAGGAATAGTGATCCTTAGCGACACTATTAATTTAAGTAGGGCGGACTGAGTGATTGAGCGGAATTACTGTGGGTAATTCAATAATTAAGATTCTCTAGAAAAGAAACAATTGTTGGCTACGTTATTTGGAACTCGAATTGCAATTAGGCAATTGTGTTGATTGATCGCGGCCCCTTTCCTTTTGATTAGATTACTAGATTATATTCGGACCGCCTAGACCCTTCTGTATATGGACCATTAATTATCTGAATTTAAGTTTTACTGTAAATTCTTGTGATCGGCGAGAGTGAGCGAGACAGCCGCAAGAGAAGCATAGAAAGGGGCAAGTAACAGAATACAGTACGGAGTAGTTGCCACCAACTCAACCCTTTCGCGATTGTAGATAGTAGTGAATCTCGGCCGCCCCGCTGAATTCACTGCCAAAGAGACCACTTTGCGGTGCCGTTAAGTTAGAGAGTGAGAATGGACCTAGAGAAGCAATCCCTGAAATCTACAATTGGCGTTTTTTCGAAAATTTTTGCCCACGGTTTCTAAGGTTTCTTAGTCAGTCAGAGGTGTACTGGGGAGGGGGGGGGGTCTGAAGCAGTGTAGTAGGTATTAACATCTTCTCAGGATTTGGACTGATATTTTTGTCACCCAAAGGATTTTTGTTCTTTTTTAGCCTAAATACACTGATTTTTAGGGGACAGCCCGCATTTAAAAATAAAAAGTTTTTGCCCAAAATATTTTCAAAAAGTGTCCAGAAACCAGTCCTCGGAAATTCAGCTCAGTCGGTCTTGAAAAAACTTTAAATCGTTCAGAAATTTTTTTAATTTATCCCCAATAACTAAAAAAAAGTTGAATAACCCAAATTCGCTTTTGTTAAGAAAATGCCTATTTTCAATGATGGTGTATGCTGAAACAAACCGAAATTTTTGAAGTGCGGAAAAAATAAATTCGATGAAATTAATGGACTGAGCAAGTTGCGACCGGTCCTCTGTTTTTTCTACCAGAACCATTGCAGTATTCACTCAAAACTGCCAATATTTCGCAAAAATAGTTTTCCAGATACTTTTATTCTCTGTCTTTGTTGATCAAACTTCACGCAAGCAATACAAAAAGTGTATGACGGCAGTCAATGGACAACTCAAAGAAAAAATTTCATCATCAAGGAGACCAAGGCCAACTAGAAACCACTGACAATTATTTTGTTTTGAGACTCAAATAGACAAATATTATAGAGAATAACAAGCAGCCTACCCTTAGGCAGAACACTGGAATTACTAGAGAGAGTAGTCGGTTCTCGTTAGCTAGAGAAGAACAATTGTGCTGTGAGAGCGAACGGTTGGTTCTCAGTTAGTTAGAGAACAATAAATGCTAAAGAGAGATAACTAGTAGTGAGATTATTTGGGTTCTCAATAGTTAGAGAATCAGGAAATGCGAGGTAAAGAGATCAGTCAAAGTACCTCAAAGGAATAGTGATCCTTAGCGACACTATTAATTTAAGTAGGGCGGACTGAGTGATTGAGCGGAATTACTGTGGGTAATTCAATAATTAAGATTCTCTAGAAAAGAAACAATTGTTGGCTACGTTATTTGGAACTCGAATTGCAATTAGGCAATTGTGTTGATTGATCGCGGCCCCTTTCCCTTTGATTAGATTAATAAATTATATTCGGACCGCCTAGACCCTTCTGTATATGGACCATTAATTATCTGAATTTAAGTTTTACTGGAAATTCTTGTGATCGGCGAGAGTGAGCGAGACAGCCGCAAGAGAAGCATAGAAAGGGGCAAGTAACAGAATACAGTACGGAGTAGTTGCCACCAACTCAACCCTTTCGGGATTGTAGATAGTAGTGAATCTCGGTCGCCCCGCTGAATTCACTGCCAAAGAGACCACTTTGCGGTGCCGTTAAGTTAGAGAGTGAGAATGGACCTAGAGAAGCAATCCCTGAAATCTACAATTGGCGTTTTTTCGAAAATTTTTGCCCACGGTTTCTAAGGTTTCTTAGTCAGTCAGAGATGTACTGGGGAGGGGGGGGTCTGAAGCAGTGTAGTAGGTATTAACATCTTCTCAGGATTTGGACTGATATTTTTGTCACCCACAGGATTTTTGTTCTTTTTTAGCCTAAATACACTGATTTTGAGGGGACAGCCCGCATTTAAAAATAAAAAGTTTTTGCCAAATATTTTCAAAAAGTGTCCAGAAACCAGTCCTCGGAAATTCAGCTCAGTCGTTCTTAAAAAAACTTTAAATCGTTCAGAAATTTTTTTAATTTATCCCCAATAACTAAAAAAAAGTTGAATAACCCAAATTCGCTTTTGTAAAGAAAATGCCTATTTTCAATGATGGTGTATGCTGAAACAAACCAAAATTTTTGAAGTGCGGAAAAAATAAATTCGATGAAATTAATGGACTGAGCAAGTTGCGACCGGTCCTCTGTTTTTTCCACCAGAACCATTGCAGTATTCACTCAAAACTGCCAATATTTCGCAAAACTAGTTTTCCAGATACTTTTATTCTCTGTCTTTGTTGATCAAACTTCACGCAAGCAATACAAAAAGTGTATGACGGCAGTCAATGGACAACTCAAAGAAAAAATTTCATCATCAAGGAGACCAAGGCCAACTAGAAACCACTGACAATTATTTTGTTTTGAGACTCAAATAGACAAATATTATAGAGAATAACAAGCAGCATACCCTTAGGCAGAACATTGGAATTACTAGAGAGAGTAGTCGGTTCTCGTTAGCTAGAGAAGAACAATTGTGCTGTGAGAGCGAACGGTTGGTTCTCAGTTAGTTAGAGAACAATAAATGCTAAAGAGAGATAACTAGTAGTGAGATTATTTGGGTTCTCAATAGTTAGAGAATCAGGAAATGCGAGGTAAAGAGATCAGTCAAAGTACCTCAAAGGAATAGTGATCCTTAGCGACACTATTAATTTATGTAGGTCGGACTGAGTGATTGAGCGGAATTACTGTGGGTAATTCAGTAATTAAGATTCTCTAGAAAAGAAACAATTATTGGCTACGTTATTTGGAACTCGAATTGCAATTAGCCAATTGTGTTGATTGATCGCGGACCCTTTAATTTTGATTAGATTACTAGATTATATTCATACCGCCTGGACCCTTCTGTATATGGACCATTATTTATTTGAAATTAAGTATTACTGGAAATTCTTGTGATCGGCGAGAGTGAGCGAGACAGCCGCAAGAGAAGCATAGAAAGGGGCAAGTAACAGAATACAGTACGGAGTAGTTGCCACCAACTCAACCCTTTCGGGATTGTGGATAGTAGTGAATCTCGGTCGCCCCGCTGAATTCACTACCAAAGAGACCACTTTGCGGTGCCGTTAAGTTAGAGAGTGAGAATGGACCTAGAGAAGCAATCCCTGAAATCTACAATTGGCGTTTTTTGAAAATTTTTGCCCACGGTTTCTAAGGTTTCTTAGTCAGTCAGAGGTGGACTGGGGAGGGGAGGGGTCTGAAGCAATGTAGTAGGTACTAACATCTTCTCAGGATTTGGACTGATATTTTTGTCACCCAAAGGTTTTTTGTCCTTTTATAGCCTAAAAACACTGATTTTGAGGGGACAGCCCGCATTTAAAAATAAAAAGTTTTTGTCAAATATTTTCAAAAAGTGTCCAGAAACCAGTCCTCGGAAATTCAGCTCAGTCGGTCTTAAAAAAACTTTAAATCGTTCATAAGTTTTTTAATTTATCCCCAATAACTAAAACAAGTTGAATAACCCAAATTCGCTAATGTTAAGAAAATGCCTATTTTCAATGATGGCGTATGCTGAAACAAACCGAAATTTTCGAAATGCGGAAAAATTAACTTCGATGAAATTAATGGACTGAGCAAGTTCCGACCAGTCCTCGGTTTTTTCCACCAGAACCATTGCAGTATTCACTCAAAACTGCCAATATTTCGCAAAACTAGTTTTCCAGATACTTTTATTCTCTGTCTTTGTTGATCAAATTTCACGCAAGCAAAACAAAAAGTGTATGACGGCAGTCAATGGACAACTCAAAGAAAAAATTTCATCATCAAGGAGACCAAGGCCAACTAGAAACCACTGACAATTATTTTGTTTTGAAGCTGTTGAGATTCTACTAAAAAACACCAAGCCTGATGGTAGGCTTGTTGAGAAGATTCGGAGCACCAAGTACCCGCGAACCACAAAGAACTTCAATCAACTTGTTCACTGGCAAACTTCTACGGACAAATAATTCCGAAGTTTGCCATCGATATGCTCCAGCTCATTGACTCACGGAGTCAAGACTTCGAAGGGACAGACCAACACGACAAGTGCTTTCTGAGTATAAACAAGAACTCAAATTTTAACCCCGTTCATATTTAACCCCAGGCAAAGAAAGGGCTGTTACTAACAATGCTTCAGAGCAGGTAGTTTGCGGGTCAGCCTCACAAGAAGGATATTCAATAATCTACGGTTCAATGAACTGAGCCGTAGATCACTGGATCAGCTGAGCGCAAAAACTCCGACTTACAAAGAGAACACGACTGAAACAGTTCTCACTGGGGCGCAGTTTCACTCTACGATCAGATCACAAACCCTTGCAGTACATTTTTGCGCCAGACAGAGAGATAGAAAAAGCAGATGGGATACTGCCTGATGGGATTCGACTATAAATTCAAGTATGTGCCAGAAAGCAGATCCCCATGCGGACGCTCTGAGCTGACTACCTTTTCATAGTGAGACACCGGAAGAGCAAAACTCTCTTTCTTGTATAACGATATCTACTTCAGAGACACGCAGACAATGAAACTGTATGAAATCAAAAGCGATCTCCAATCGAATCGAACATTCCAAAACGTTTTTAAACGGATGAAAAGAGGTGGTTTCAGGCAGTGCGCAGAAGTTGAATGCCATTTCAAGAAGAAAGCTGAAACATTGAGCACAAGAAAGTTTTTCTCGTCTACACGGGCGTTGTATTTTTCATACAGCTGAGACACAGAAGACAAATTATGGACAACCGAGACACAGAAGACAAATTAGCGATTCAAGAAGACCAGCATCAGCAAAGGTTTTGAGAATGCTTGCTTCATGGCCTGGTATGCCAAAAGACGTGAAACGACTTGTCTCCAGATGCAAGATCTGTCACAATAACAGCCCATAGCTTGGAAAAACAATTTCCAAGTGGTCAGAAGCCTACATATGGGAACAAATTCATAGTGACTGAGAACCTATCAGGGAGCAAGGAAACATATTCGTTAGTATTGATTCAGGAAGTGGCTAGAGAGAAGCATTCTCGACAAATGACAGAACTACTCTAACTGTCAGCAAAGATCTTTCAGCGGTCTTTGTAAGACTTAGAGAACCAAAAATTTGAGTATCTGGCTACAAGCACAATTTTGAGAGCACTGATTTCAAAGCATGGCGCAAGTCTCAAAAATTTCACCGATCCACCTACCAAGAGCAAATAGACTAGCAGAAACCGCAGTCCAGACGATTAAACATGCCAACGGTCGTTTTCTTTGCGTTTCTCCAACGGTACTAAGGACGCAGAGAAATACTTCCAAAGTGAAGGGAAAAATACCAGCTAAATTGTTTTTGGACAGAAACCAAAATACTTCCCATCGAAAATTTTGATGCAAGTGAAAAAATTCTCTTCAAGCCGAACAAAGACACGGAAGCATAGCCTGCATTTTTGTCGTTCGTCGTGGAATTAATACAAACCGGACTATTCTCGCGACAACAAGATACAGTCAAGAGACCAATACCCTCGATGGAACGAGTGGAAGAGTCGACGATGAAACCTTGTCACCGACATGAAAACGAAGAACAACCGTCACCAACTCGAGACGATGATCCTGAAGCGGTCTTACATGAACCCAAGCGAACTTCACGATTGCGAAAACCAGCAAAACACTATCGAGATTCAATACCGACAGATCTTTGTAGAAAAGGAAGGAGGATGTGATGGTATGAGAAATCATCAAAGTTTGAACTCTTAGTATGAAACTCGAAGAGAATAAACATGAACTCACCTGATCTGTTGAAGTGTAATAAATTGGTACAGCAGCAATTCTGTTTTCATTGCTGTATCTTTATAATCAGGTGAGCTTAACCAACTGTCACAGTGTATTAACCATGATAGATTATCTTATCTTGATAATAATTAATGCTCTTCATGAATGCATTGCTGTATAATTCTATATACGCAATGTATGCCTTGCGAGTGCAAAAAAAATATAAAAAAACGGGAACCCGTGAACAAAAAAGGTTTTCACCCTGAATTACAAATCTTTTTTTTAGGTATACTTTTCTAACTGATAACAACTATAAATATCAACTAAATTTTAGGTAAATTTTCGGTGCTCTTGTAAAGCATCTGAGGTAGCCTATTTTGAAAACAATTTTTGCACAGCAGGCAAATGTTTGTTAAAACAGAACAAAAAGCCATTCAGCGAACTTTTCGAAATGTTTTAACCAAAAAATTCGCTTTTCTAAAAACGTATTGGCGCCATAGGCGTCTTAAAAAAATTTCAGGATCGAGCATAGTACCATAGGGGGCCCCTGATTCGTTTGGGGGATTTTGTCCCGGGCGAGTTAAGTCCGGTATTATCACAAGGATGCTAGCGCGAGGAAGTGCCATGTTTCTTTCTGACATCTTTCGGATCATTTTCCTATTTTAGAAGCTGTTTCCTTCAGCTTTGAGTTGACCTATGATGGGACATTTGACGATGCGCTTTTGGACTCCACCTCCGATGCTTTCAGGGAGCAGTGCAATCAACTCAAAACAAATGTACGCTAATTATAAAATGGACGCTTCGTTGATTAATTTAAAGTCGTATCATTACAAAAATCCTCTATTCTTGAAAAAACGGGGTCTGTTTAATGAAATCGATGAAAAAAAAACATTTAACCACAAATGTTGCAAATGAATATGTTCGTTTTTTAACTGAAATTGATTAGTTTGTATCAAGCCTCTTGCTGATGATCAAGTTTTCATCTTTCAATATATGTAATTATTATCAAACAAATTTATCGGAATGCGTACAATCAGCCTGAAAAAAAAATTTTCTATTATATTATGTATCTGTTGCCAAACTCAATATACGTCAATAATGTTTTGTAATTTTTGATAACATTGATTCATTTTTTAGTAAAATTTCGACGTTTAGGGGAGGCATGGCCTAAAAATCCGCCCTGTAGTGGATTTAGGGGGTAGTATTTTGAGATATCCATTTTTGGCTGACTGACCCTAAAATTTTTCTAACGGCGCCTTCGACGCCAATATATGCTAATTTTGAGGAGGAAGGATGCCCCAAAAAAATGCGATTTTTCGTTCAAAGTTTTCCAAAAAATGCCTAAAATGCTTTTTTTTGGCCCGTTTTTCAATATTTTGCCTGCTGCGCAGAAAATTTGATCAAAATATAGTCTATATGGTAACATGGGAGAGCTCAGAATATCTGGGTCTAGAAAAAGGTCGACAAAATTTTCGATGTTTTTCAAACCTTTAATTTTTGTTTAAATAATTGTGAATTCAGCAACTGAATTGGTTAAAATAATCAACATCAGCTCGATGAACGAATCTGACTGGCTGCTCTTAGCTTAGATATTGCGTGTAAAAAAGTTTTTTTTTAAGCTGAGCTGACAGTTTTACCAAGTTTGGGTTTAAAATTATCGTTTTAACTGTTAGTTTTTCAAAATTCATCTTCAATCTAATCATCTGTTGACTCTTCTTTGCTGACTACAAGCCTTCGTAGTTTTTGGTGATTTATTGAGACGAAAACTGCAAAACTGAATCTTTAGCTGACTTCGAAAATTGAGCCAAACATCTTTTTACAACAAATCGTGACGAACTAAAGACAATATTGCTTTGATGTTCCAGTAGGGTCGAATCTAGGATTTTCTCGAGGGGGGCAGATTTTCACAAAAAATTCGAAAATTTTGTCGACCTTTTTTTAGTACGACCAAATTGATTTTCCTAGCCCTCCCAAAGCACTAAAATGACCCTGATTCGGCCAAATTTTTTCGCCGCAGGCTTATTTTTGAACAAGCAGGCCAAAAAAATTTGTTTTTAGGCACTTTTTGGGAAGTTTTGACCAAAAAATCGCGTTTGTTTCGGCGCGCGCTCCCCCTCAACATTAGTATATATTGGCATCAAAGGCGCTTTTAGACAAACGTCAGTAAGCCAAAAATAGTTATCTCAAAATAGTACAAAGGGGAAAATCTTTGGGTCGGCATGGGATCGAATCCCTGAGATGATTTGCCGCGAAAAACGAAAGTAGTTATGCCAATTATCACCCCCCTGCAGTATGTTTGGCTGACTGTTAAAGCATGGCACTCAAACAGCGTTTTTCTTCTGCGAGCACCGACAAAAAACTAAATCACTGAATAGACATCTTTACGATAAACACAAATTGTGTTTGTATCCTTGCGGAATCCGGAAACAAGTCTTTAAACATGATAAAAACGACAACGCGGAAGACTCACCGAGTTGCAGTGGAAAGGTCACGAACAAATTCATTTTAACCTAAATCTTGTCGGCCTATAAATGAATCCGCAACAAATGAAAAACTGAAAGTGTAAATGGTTCTACCATATTTTAGCGTACTCTAGAATTTTTTGGCGGATTCTGCTATTGCTAGCATAATGTGCGATTTGTAAGTGGATTCCGGATTTTGTTTGTGGGTTCCGCAATTAGTCCGAACAAATTCAACCAGCACAAGTTTTTATCAGTTTGAGTGCTGAGCAATTTAAGCTAGCTAGCTATGATAAAGATTTAGTTTTTTTGTCGGTGTTCAATTATTGCAGTTAAAAACATGAATCGCTTTCAATATTGTGATGTCGTTTTTGCACTGGATGTTATTTAATTACTGTAGATTTGCACTATCCAGGAGAAAAGATATGCTAAGGTTTTCAAATTCAGGTGTAATTTTTGTACCAAATCAAACCAGCGGCCGACGAATAGCATTCAATCTATGCTCTTGTGAGGTTTACGACGATGTTTTAAGAACTTATTCGTCAAAACTCAATGCAAAAAAAAACTTCCGTAAAGCTCGTTTGATGGAATATACGAGCTTTGATTAAAATTTTGCTCAAATATCAATTTTATCAGGTTGTTTTTGATTTTGACGCAGCTCAAATTTCGACATGGATTCAGCAGCATTGATTTTTTCAAAAAAAAAATTAAATCATTTTTTTGTCAAGGCAAAAAAATTGTTGTCAAGCAAGGGCCAATTTAGAAAATACTTAACATTAACTTAATTTTGAGTTTTTATAAATTAATTTTTTATAGTAATTGGCTGCACAGTATAAAGCAGGAAGCGACTGATTTTTTGTAGCTTTTTGAAGTTTGAAGGTTGTCCTCCCAAAAAAATGCTGTTTCAGTTGGCCGATTATCTTTTGTCCCACAACATTTCACCCCTCTCGCTGGACTGCGTGTCTTTTGCCCCTGGCAGCATCAAGGCCGTTTACACCATTGTGTTCCCGGTCGAACCGGGCGAGGACAGACCTGAGGTGTTGGAGGACAAAAAGATAGAAGTACTGGAGGCTCTTTCAACTTCAGCGGCCAGTCAGCAATTGGCGACATCGAATGTTTTTGTGCTCAGTTAGTCAATGCAAAACATATAGTTTTAATTTCTGAAAGAACTTGAAAAATCTTCAGCTGATCAACTTACTCAAATCATTTCGAAGCGGACGCTAATGATGGTTTATTTGTGAAACAGCTGTCGGTTCTTTTTGCTTCTCATTAGTTAATCCATCGAATGAAGCAAACGCTCTCCATTACTTTTCTGCAGTGTTTGAATATTTTTGAAGGAATGGTTTGATCATTTTGATTTGCTGATCTATAAAGAAACACTTGGATAAACAGTCCTTGCCGCTGGAGGTGAGTATAATTGGAGCCCAATTACGACAACTGATCAGGGCAATTTGAGCCATCTGTAGAAATGAAGCTTGATCATCAACTAGTGGAAAATAAGCAAAGTACTGCCTGCCTCGGAATAAAAAGCCTTATCAATCGTATCATTAAAATTCACGCTCAAGAAAATGGTACAACTTAACTCACTGGACGAAAAAATAACAGTCAAAAAATAAATTCTGGGCAAGCACTTTTGAGTTTTTCCTCCTAAAAAAGTACCTATTAAATAGAAGACTGCTCGTATCAGGGCAAAGCCCTGATTGTTAGCACTGGCCTTTAAAGTTTTAGCAAAAAAAAAACTCTTTGATGGTGTTTATTTCTTTCCGAATCAAAAATTTTTGAAAATTCTTGTGTAAAACGTTTCCAATCTGATTTTATTTCTGTTGGTAAAATTGAAAACCATTTTTGGGTTGCTCCGTCGAGTGTGGCTTGTTTTAGTGCTGTACGTTTATGAATCCAATTCTGATGAAGAGGTGTGTTTATAAGTTCCGGGCCTATTTTTAAAATTAGGTTTGCTGTAACAGCGTTTAAATAATCATTGAATTTTCAGGGTCTGTTCCTGTAAACATCATGAGGGGTTTATTGGATGTAATTTAATTGATGATCCATCCATAAGACATAAGGTATAGATTCATCGTCATTTAAAATTATTCTGCAGTAAGGTTGTAATTGGGCTGTAAAATAGCTTTAAAATAAAAACTGGCAAAACTAAATTTTAAGCTGATAAAATCAAAGATTATATGTTATTGCAATTTGAGTCATGTATGGCGTTAAGAAAACCAATTAGCTGCCTCAATTCAATTTTCACCGAATTTGTAGTGAGAAATTATCAAACAAGCAATTTTAGCAATACTCATGGCAGGTTACTATAGTGGTGTGCTCACTCGGCTGGCCACATGAAGCTTGAGAAAATGATACCCCTACTGTTCAGACATTTGTGAAACTGGTCTGAATGAAATAAGGCCAACTCTAGCATATACATTCCTCACTTTCTTCAAAAGTCTGAACAAAAAGACTCAAAGAAGCTATCAGCAGCAAAATGTGCCTTCTCCGAGTTAACACAAGAGGCTCTAGTACTCGTGTTCGTTAAAAAAGCTTGAAAAAATAACTTGTGCAATTTCAATCTAATAAAGATAATTAACATTAATAGTACTTGGATCCTTCAAACGTAGAAAAAAATAAAACCAATGTGAGGCAGAATGGCAAGTTTTTTGTGCTCTCCTGTTCTTTCGCCTCTCAAATTTACAAATCGATTTTAAAACACTAAACATTCTAAGTGTCGATCAGGCTTTTGCAGATGCACTTCTTCCGAAAATACTGCCACTCGAACCCCCGATAACTCCTTTTTTGAACAATCCCTCCCTCACGGCTCCAGCCGAACCCTTACCCAATTAAAGTCCGGATAAAGTCCCTTTTTGAACACTTAGTCAAACAGAATAGACACAAATGTCCTCCAAACTGCCCCCACTGTACTTCACCACACACGCTTTACACCTTTTCATTTGTTCCAACAATACCACTACTCTAACCCCAATTGACCTGTGCTTTCGGCCAACCGAAGTCGCACAATCTCAAAAACTTGGTTTGAGCATGCCGGACTGGGGGCTAACAACAACAAATGGCATGTAGTGCTGGTAAGATTTGCACCGAAAATTGAACTGCGTGCCCGGAGAACTAATTAGTTAAGTAAAATCATCAACTAGATTTTATTTTGACGGGACGGCAGAAGAAGAAAAAATTTATTTCTTTCATAAGGGCAGCTTATCAGGGGCGGATTTAGGGGGGGGGGGTGCGGGCAGGTAGGCGAACGTCCTCTCCCTCTCAGGAATTCGAACCCCTGCCAACCCAAAGGGTCCCCCCTTTGGTTCTTTTTAAGAAATCCATTTTTGGCCGACCGACCCTAACATTTTTCTAAAGGCGCCTTCGGTGCCAATAAATACTAATTTTGAGGGGGAGCGCGCGCCAAAAAATCGCGTTTTTTTGTCAAAAATTTCCAAAAAGTGCCCAAAAACGGCTTTTTTGACCTGTTTTTTCAATAAATTGCCTGCGGCGCAGAAAATTTGGCCAAAACAGGGTCTTTTTACTGCTTTGGGAGCTCGGAAAATCAATCTGATCGATCTAAAAAAAAGGTCGTCAAAATTTTCGAAAACGTTTTGAAAATCCGCTCCCCCCCCCCCCCCTCGAGAAAATCCTAGATCCGCCCCTGCAGCTTAGCATAGACGTAAGCAATCATATTCAGTGACACCAGAAGCAATATTTGAGCCAATCCAACAAATTCATGCTCAAAAATTGGCGAGCAAAGCATGTTTTGAGAACACTCAGAAACCAAAGTTTTTTCCAAGAAGGAATCTGAAACACATACGAAACAATCAGTCACCATATACCGAGCTTATGCACTAACCTTAATAGCAAATAAGAGGAAGAATTGAAATGGTTGCATGATAGCCCGAATTTGTTTAAATAATGAGGCTGAAACGTTGAAGATAACCGTCAAAATTTCCAAATCATTGTCAATAGTCACAAGACCCACCCCGTACGAGAGGCAGTAGCAGCCAGACACGGATCAATTATCTTCATAAAAACAAAAAATATAAATGTACGCTAAATGAAGCTTCTAAATTTAGTTTAGTAAAATTTGCTAATTTTCATTTATAACGAACGTTACTCGATCGCTTTTCTAGCTAAAATTTGACTAGCTCATTATTTTTTGTCGGAAACAGTTTTCCTACAAATGTGTAACAACATTTTTATTCAATACAGATGACGATGGATCCAAATTCCAAATCCCACAGACCACCCTACCGACAACAACAACCACAACCACAACCACAACCACTCAGCGGCCGACAAGCAACAGCGATGACGATGACACTCTAATGATGGTACTAATTTAGGCGGGAATTCCTCCAGACAGACGGACTGAATGATAGAGTTATAAATAATTCAAATTAAAATTTTCGGCTATACGGTCCTGTGTCATCCGGGACTCAATCTGCATAACAACAGATTTTTTCGCTCCATGAAAACAAATTGAATGGAAATTAGGCAATAATTGTGGTTTCTGCGCTTCGCAGATATCTGTGAAAGGCCATCCAGTCTGTCTAAGCATTGTCCTTTTCTCTTATTTCCCCACATTCTAGACTGCTCTATTTTGTTGAGCGAAGCTCTTTTTTTTGCGACTCATGGCCGTTTTTTTGCGGCTAGCACTATCTCGAGATACCATTATTGCAGCCGAAATTGGCGTCTGGGCCAAAATGTTTTCTAGTTCTGATTTAAGGCTTCAACTTTCCTTCAAAAAATTCTCCATGATCGAAAAAGCTATTTTCCAAAAAATTTTTCCCTAAAAATCAAGCGAATTGTTTTCCGTTTTAGCATTAATAATCATCATTAAAAATTTTTAAAAGCGTCCTCCGGTCATTTTAAACTGAAAGAGCGACTACTTTTTGTACTAAGTAATTAAGCAAAAAAATACTATTCATTTTCAGATTAGTTCAGACAATTTCTAAATAGAGACTGACCTCCGAGTTAAAGTTTACTTACATTTTTACCTCTATTTTATCTATTATTAACACTCACTCTAGAATAAGTTCACCTATTTCAAACGCCCTTCCTACAAAAATAATAAAAGGAAATTTGGACAAAAAGTGACAAAAATTATGCAAATAAATCTTCATTTTTATAATTTTCAAGTTGTTTTTTAATTATTATTTTTTCTTAAATCAGTGTGGCCGGAAAATTCTGAGCTACTTCCACTGCAGCCGGCTATCCTTGTTTCTCGTATATCTTTTTTTAGGTGTTGTTGGTGATGGCTATAGTGATAGCAATTGGGCTGTTTGTGTTGATTGGGGTGACAGTTCTGCTGCTGAACAGACGTAACCGGAAGGAGAAGGAGGTGCTGACTAGGATGGAGACCCACTTGGAGAGGAGCAGTACTATCCATTCAAACCACAGACTGCCCTCTAAGGTGACTAAAGCAGTCTATTAGCATTTTCAAAAGTTTAAGTTCACTACCCGTACTGAGAAAATTCTTTAATTATGTCAAGAAATACTTAATTTCCGATCTCAATTTCTGGTCAGGAATTCTTTGCGAAATGTTTAAATAAAGCATGGATTTTCTATAGATACTTTATTTCTAATCCAATTTCTGGTCAGAAATTTTCAAAATCTAGGCTATTTCTAATCAGAAAAAGCTTTTTTCTAATCTAATTTCTGTTCAGAAATTTTCTTAATCTGGGCTATTTTAAATCAGAAAAAGTTTTTTTCTAATCTAATTTCTGTTCAGAAATTTTCTTAATCTGGGATATTTCTAAGCAGAAACTCCTTTTTTCTTATCCAATTTAAGGTCAATAACTTTCTAAATCTATGCTCTAGAACAGAAGAAAAAATTCTTAAATAGGTTAAATTGCATCAATTGACTTGATTAGAAACAGAAAATTTCATCGTCAATATTAATCCCATTTGCGAAAATCAAAAGTAATCAACAGCCTATTTTCTGTGACGATTTTTAATCTTCGGTGATTTTAAGAAAACGAGGTCACACGAACAGTGGAATCAGCATCAATTTTCACTCTTCGGCTTCTGCAGGCCCAAACTTTTATTCATCAAATCTGTACAAGGGTCGAAAGATATTAATTTCTTCGCAGCTAAGTTTTTCAGACCGATTTCGATTTCTTAATTGTTCTTTTTTGACATTTCTTATATCATTCGGAGGTATTGTTGTCTTGAAAAAAAAAACAAATACTTCTGTAAAAACAAGACGCGTGACAAAACTTGAAGTGGACTTTCGAAAATTTGTTTTAAAAAAATTGATTTTTTTTTTAATTTTTCAGAATAGAAATGGTTTATTTCTAACCTAAGATAAGAAATAAGAAATTTTGTACAGAAAAAACGGGAAAACTTGGGGAGATAATCTACATAGAATTTCTATCTAGAAAAACAGCTTTCGTTCGGTACGGGTAGTGCTCGGGTACAATATTTGTTTGCTCAGATGAGCCATTTTGGGACGTTTCACATAGCGTTGAAATGAAAAAGGGGCAATATGAAGGCTCAAACAACTAACAGTAACCGGCTATTAAACATATATAAAAACGAAACACTTTATTCATTAAAAATCATAGATGGTTGAAACAAAATAAATTTATCAAAAAATATCTAGAAATAGAATGAATTGAAACAACATTGTTAAGTGTCAAGTAAATTTTAAAAAAGTGCCACTGTATTATCTTCAAGGTATGAAAAAACATAAGTTTGGATTTAATTATTTTATATGTTAGAGCTTTCGCTAGTTTATTATGTTCTCGCATGTTTTTCCAAATTGGTAGAGCTATCTTAAGCAATGATTTTTCATAATGTTTAGTATTATGTTGCTGTTTGAAGATGAGTTTTTTGTTCGATAATGTTCTTTTGATTGATGATAAAGATAATCTTAACTAATATAGGCTGTAAATAGGTTTTTTCGAATTTTCCAGAATTGGCATGGCATTTTCCAATCTAGGAAAAACCGAATCGGAAGTACTTTATACTTTTTTCAAATTTGAAGAAAATTCGTATTTATGACGGTTACAGCAAGTTTTCACACTAACTTAAGTTTTTAATATTTAAATTAATTTTTTTCAACTAAATATAAAAAACTATGCGTTATTTCATTGAGTAAAATAGCCGGATAGTGTAGGTGGCTCATGACAATTGCATTCATTTACAGCAATCTGGTGTTTAATGGTAACGGTTTTATGATAGGTGGTAGAATTTCATTACCAGGTTTCATTTTTCTTCGAATGCTTCTAATTTCTTATTGAAATTGAAACCAATAGAAAAATGGGACCAGTGATTTTCAAACAACGAAAAATTGAAGACAATTTTTTTAAAACTTTGTTGTAGTCTTTATAATTATTTATGCAAATGGTCTGGTAACCATGTGGTCTTAAAATGTAAGGCAGTTATTATTTAGTTGGATCAATATTCACCTTCAGCCTATGTGGAAAACAATTACATTTGCCCTAATTTTCATGATGTGGGTTATCTTTATGAAACAAAATGTATCATATAAGATTCTTGAAAACTAAAGAGCTTTAACGTGATGTATTTTTTCTCTAAAATTCGAGAAAAAAAAATTCAAAAAAGTCTAACTTTTTTTTATGTGTTCTTGAATTCATTGACATTTTTCAGACTCTCTGTTGGCTATGTTTCAATATTAGGATGAGAATAAGGTGGAATTGATCACCTTTCAAAAAACTGATCGATTTAGAACTGATGTAAGCAGGCTCATTTTAGTAAATTAAATATTTAATAGTCTTGCATAACGCCTTACTGCAATAGCATTAAAAAAAGATTTATTTACACTAGAAAATCTCAGCAATGACACGACAGTTTTTTAATCGATCAAAACAGTTGGACGCTGCAAAACACGGCTTATGTAAAAAAACTGCTGAAAAAATTGATTTCAAAAGTGAAAAAAAAATCTTTTTGCCTTGAAAAAATTTCCTTAAGACGGAAAAATTAAACTACAGCAGTTCTACGAGCAGATTTTTAGCAAACAGAATGTCATTCAAACGCCAAATTTCCCTGGATCTGAATACATAAAACGTTGTTCAATCTTGTTCGTTTCTTGAAAGGCTGTTTTCTATCAAAATGCGAACAGTTCGCTGTATGTTAGTCCTTCATTTCATGGATAAATGATTTAATCATACTTTTTAAATTAGCAATCAACATTCTCGCGCCCAAATGACTGGCGCACCCACCCAGAAGACCAGTCCAGAAGCCACTCGATGAAACAACACCAGGTGCAGCCGATGAACTATCCAGATGAGCCAGATACCATGTACACTCCAGAGGACAACATACACTTGAGGACCCACAGGGCGCCAGATGCTCTTGATAACGCGGGTAATTATGTGTTCGGCGCCAATACGATCTAATTTTGAAGGGGATGCGCACCAAAAAACGCATTTTTTTGGGTCAAAAATTAATTACGAATGATGCCTAAAGCGTATTTTCTGTTTTTTTTTAAATCGCCTGCGGCAAAACAATTTCAATCTAAGGACTTTGTAGTGATTTGAGAGAGCTCGAAAATCATAATGTGGTCGACCTACTAAAAGTTCGACAAAGTTTTTGAACATTTTCCCCGGTGGTCTCTCTCGAGAAAATTCTAGATCCCCCCTGGTTTTGAAGCGTTGTCATTGGTCAGAAACAATTTCAAATTTAAATCTTGAAGTCCGAAAAATTAACCAACTTTCGAAGACCTTGTTTTGAGGCATCTTAACGTATTCGTTAACAACTTGCATTTAAATTAGATCATTAAAAAATGAAAAAGCGGAGCCAAAAGTATCAGTGAATAAAACATCTAAAATAATGTGAGAAGCAACATCTCAAAACCAGACAATTTTTAGGCTGAGGAGGGTATTTTACTTCTAGTTCAAACTCTGATATCGATATTTATTTTTTTACAACTATGTTTTTTGTTTTAGACCAATTTTCAGAACGTTATCTCTAACACTCTACCTCTACAATGACAGCTGCTGTAAACTCTCAGTTTCTTTTCTAATCATCTCTGCCATACAAATCAAGATAGATAATTTGGAATGGGTATAATAAAAATATCTGGCTGTCACCAAATCAGTTTTCATGAGTTATTTGTCAAAACATGTCGCATAACGTCTAACGCGAAGTCAACATCGGCATCTGTAATACACATAGGAGGTTTAAGCCTGTACACAGAGCCATTTGGCCCGCCTTTTCCAAGCAGAAGTCCCAAATCTTTCATTTCCTCAAAAATCTTCAAAAACTTCTCCGAATTCAGGGGTTTCCTTGATTCCTTTTCCTCGACCATTTCAACTCCGACCATTAATCCTTTTCCACGAACATCACCAACAATTTCAAACTCATCTCGCAACTCCATGAGCCCGAGAAGTAACTTCGTGCCAAGGTAGTCTGCGTTTTGCTGCAAACTTTCATCTTCAATGACGTTCAAAACTTCTTCACCAACAGCACAACAAAGCGGATTTCCTCCGTAGGTGTTGAAATAAAGAGCGCGAGTTAAGTTACTGGCTATTGTTGGAGTAGTTACAACTGCTGCTAGTGGGACACCGTTTCCAATTCCTTTTGCCATTACAACAATATCTGGAACAACATCGTGAGATTCGAACCCCCAGAAATGAGTTCCGAGTCTTCCGAAGCCTGTCTGAACTTCGTCTGAAATGCAAACCCCGCCGTGCTTTCGAGTTAGTTCAAACGCACCTTTAACGAACCCTTTCGGAAGCTGAACGGCACCTCCGACTCCATGAATTGATTCCGCGATGAACCCGGCAATTTTTCCACTCGTCATGTAAGACACAGTATCTTGAAACTCTTGAACATACAACTCCGAAGCTTTGCATTGACCTTGACCACAATCACAAGGCCGTCCCAGGACTTGTGAGATGCTATCGCGGCAGTTTTGACCCCCATAAGGTCCTTGATAAGGATCAACTCTCATTCCCAGGTGTACAATGTTATGTCTGTTCGGAACATTGTAGTTCCACTTCGGAACTGCTGTCAAGCCCATGGTTCCAAGACTCATTCCGTGATACCCATTTCTCAAGGCCAATAAATCCGAGTTGCCACTAGCGAGACGTGCCAAAAGAATTGCCATGTCGTTCGCCTCAGACCCCGAATTGACGAAATAAACTACGCTCAAAGGGTCCGGAAACTTTGAGGCTAATTTTTCAGCATAAGTTATGATTTGCGGATGAGTATAAATAGCTGTTGTGTGCCATAGAGTCTGAGCTTGGTCTTTCAGGACCTTAACTAATCTTGGGTGACAATGTCCAACCGAAACCGTAACGATTCCTCCGAAGAAATCCAGGTACCTTTTCTTGTCCAAGTCAAATATCCATTGCATACTGGCTGATGACACTACAAGAGGTTTTTTGTAGTAGGGTTGAAGCGATCTGTTTATTTTGTCCTTTTTCATATTAAGAAGTTCTTCGTATGTAAGTTTGGGAGTTTGTGTAAACGATTTGGCCACCGGACCTGTTGGCATTACAGGTTTCGGACAATTCAAAACTGCTGAAGTTGAGACGCATTTTTTGATGAAATTTGTTTGAGAACTTTGCTGGATTTTGCTGATTTTAACAGAACAGAGCGTTACCTTGAAAATCGAGTTACGTTGCATTTTTATCAATCAAAGTTTATGACAGTACTAATTCTTCTATCGACTTCACTTTTGCGCAAGTTTCACATAAGAAGTTAGCAATATTGCATCACTATAGGTGAATAACTATACAGCAACTTCAGGCTAAAAATGATTGTGCAAGAGTAATTCAGAGATGGTAGGCAACAAGCCGAAAACTGAGATTAGCGGATCTTAAAGCCGAACTACATGAAAAAAGCTGCTTTGTAGCGATGGCTTAAGGTAGCCGGTAAACGCGCGTGGCCACTTTGCGGCGTTAACCGGCCCTAAATGTCCAAGCCCTATCCGGGCAAGCTCGCAACACAAATTGGCGCGATTGCGGCGGTCACTTGTTAAAATTTATTTTACATAACTCTGATATAGTTTCGGCTACAAGATATGACGGTTTGTAGATATGGCGGATTGTTGAACATCCGCCAATTAAATGTTGGCTAGATGCAAACAAACAGGGTCTTTGTACATTAAATGGTTCAATGGCCTCAAACCATGGTATAAATACCATATGATTCAGTTTCTTTCGAAGGAATTGCTCAAAATTAACCCCTTTCTCATCGATTAAAATGACAAAAGAAAGTGCATTGAAAGTTGTAAAGCGTAATTTGTTGAATATTTTGTATCAGAATTAAAACAAAACAAAAGTATTGAAATGAAAATTTTGTAACAGTCCCACTACTTCTCTGAAGAAACAAATTGATCTCGTTTGCTCTTTCTTTTTCAACCCATGATGAATTAGTCTCTTTTGTCGACAACTTCATTGAAGACGACATGCTTTTTGTCACCGAGAACTTCTGTGGCCAGGTTCTCGGGCGTATTTGGTCTTGCATCTTCTAATAAAAAACAATGCTATAATCGATTTAACACAAACTAGCTACTCCTTTGAAACCCTAGCTTTAAAAAGATATAAAAATAAATCGACTACCAGAATGAAATGTAAAAATGAGGAGAGGTAACCCTTAGCGCAGCAGCACATCAGCGACTGGCACTGCGGACATCCACTCTTGCAGTTCGAATCCCTGCTTCCAATCGACGCCATATCTGGTTTGGGATCTGGAACCTGAAAATATAACCAACAAATAGTGCCCGAGTCGAGATTTTTCACCTAATTTGAAGCAAGATTTGAGCGGTTTGAGCGGTTTTTTTAGACAATTACGCTCAAAATCTTGCTTCAAAATGAGCGGTTTGAGCGGTTAACAACTCTTAATTACTTTAAATTTGATTAAAAACAAGTTTTAACATTATTCTGAACATCTTGCCTTTTATGAAAAAATGGTTATCATACAATTTTCATATATGCAAATTGTATGATAACTAATTTTTTAGCTTCAAATTAAATTTTCGTTTTTGATGAGCAATGTCCTTCAAATTGAGCAAAAGCACTCTTAAATAATTTAAATTTAATTATAAACAAGTTTGAACAATTTCTGAAAATCTTGCCTTTCATGAAAAAATAGTTATCATACAATTTTCATATATGGAAGTTGTATGATAACCATTTTTGTTTCAAAAAAAAATAAACGTAGTTATTTTCCATCACCAGACTGTTGTATTTGGTTCAAATAGCTGGAGAAACTAGATTGAATCTTTTTTCAAAGGGTTTTTGAAATTGTATGAAAACTGTATGATTAGCATTTTTCCATACATTTGATGCAGGCAATTGTATGATAAGCTTTTTCGGTGTGGGGAAATTTAAAATAAGCATTTTCGGTTTATGGATGTCAACCCGGAGTCACATTACCTTTCCAGGCCTTTTTGTTGGTTTTAATCGGTTTTCTTTATAAGACCGCTCAAAAACCGCTCAAATCTTGCTTGAAAAACCGTTCAAAAATCACCGCAAGAAATGAGCGGTTTTTGAGCGGTTTTTTAAACAAGATTTGAGCGGTTTGAGCGGTTTTTCCAAAAAAAAAAACGCCCAAACCGCCCAAACCGCTCAAACCGCTCAAATCTTGCTGAAAAACCGCTCAAACCGTTCATATCTTGAGCGGTTTTTGAGCGGGATCTCGACCCGGGAGTGAAAAGAGTCAATGAACGCTAGGAAATAGAAAAAAGAATGACCTTAACGCTCTTTGAATTTCAAGAGCAATTTCTGACTGGCGCCTTTTTGATAAAAATTAACCCAATTTCTGAAAAACTGGAAAAATTTGAAATTTGGAAATCTGAAAGTTGAAATTCACTTTCGAAAATAGAAGCCTATCACTTTTATCGTTATCTTTACACAATTGCTGTTCAATAATGGAGTTTAGCATTCTTTAATCAAAAATAATGAATAAAATTCAAAAGTGAATCAAAAACTAAACCACAAAAAAATGAGCGTAAAAAAATTTGAAGATTTCTTCCTGAAAAAAAAAACATACAAAAATTCATCAAGATATATATAATCTTCAGTATCTTCATTGATTTTTTATAACATAGCCAACAGGCAACTGAAAAAGATTCAACGAACACAATTAAACTGCAAAAAAATAATCCCTACCAGCTTCTTGAAATAATCTCAACTCTCGAAAATCAAACTCTCGAAAAACATAGATGCTCTCCAGATGCGGAATTAGGGGTGGGGAGGGGTGACGGACGCCCTCTCCTTAAAGATTTGACCCCCTGCCGACCCAATGAGTCTTCCCTTTAATCTGTTTTGAGGAATCCATTTTTTGTGAGGGACCCTAGAAAGTTTCTAAAGGCGCCTTCGGTGCCAATTTATACTAATTTTGAGGGGGAAGCGCGCATCGAAAAAACGCAATTTTTTGGTCAAAACTTTCCAATGGGTGCTTAAAAATGACTTTTTTGGCTGCGTTTTTAAAATTTTGAATGCAGCGCAGAAAATTGTGCAAAAACCAGGACTTTTTAGTGCTTTGGGAGAGCTCGAAAAATCAATTTGGTTGACATAACAAAAAATTGGCAAAACTTTTTGAAAACACGTCCCCTCGAGAAAATCTTATATCCGCCTCTGATGCCTTTAAAGCTTTTTGACTTTCCAGAAGAAGTTTTGATTGAAAAGCAAGTTTTCTGTTTCGCTTGGAATCCTGAAAAGTTAATTCCAATTTCGAATTACTAGAAGTCAATCACGTTTTTTGTTACGCTTACACTTTTGCTGTTCCATAGTGAAATTTGGCTTTTTTTTAACAAAGGAGACGAATTGAACTCAAAATTAAAAAAGAATTTAACCCGCGAAAAAAAGGATTTGAGCCAGACCAAATTTTAAAAATTTTCCTAAAAAAATCATTGCGACCTATAAAAGAGTCTGAACTACGTTCATCGACTCTTTAAAAGAAATCGTGATTATATGGTCAATTTAGGGCATGTTCTGGCAATAACTGTTCCGATTTTTGAAAGTGACAAAATTTGAAACAAATTTTACGACTTTTCCTAAAAAAAAACGAAAAAAAAAAAATAATTGCGACCTTTATAAGAGTCTGAACTATGTTCATTGACTCTTAATAACAAATAGATAAGGAAACAAGATGATTTTTTATGGAATTTGAGAAAAATTGTTGAAAATTTTCCTTTAGAAGAAAAGATCTTGAACATAACGGTCAAATTAAGGCAAATTATGGCAAAAATTGCTCCGTTCTTTGAAAATGGCAAAGTTCGAAATTTTTTTTTTTCGTCGACGCATTTTCAGCGAATACAGCGAGCGAGCATGCCTATAAAACAAAGATAAGCTTTCAATAAAATGAAATTTTGTTCTTGTAGTTTCTGCGATTTGCAGAAGGTCTAGGAAATAATTTACCAACCTGTCTAAGCATATACCGTTTATCTTTTTTTCTCCCACGTACCTGACTGAGTAACTTTATTAATTGAAACTTGTTTTTTTTTGCGAATCACGGTAATTTTTTTGCGCCCAGAATTTTTGTTGAAGCCACGAAAATTTATTTTTACTCCAGTAAAAGTAATTTTCAATTTGTTTTGGCGCATTTTCGGGAATGATAAATTAAAAAATTTTCTGCTACAACTTTGAAAGCATGTAAGATTTTGTTTCGAAATTTTATTGTTTTTTATCCAATTTTTGAAGAAAAAAAGTTGTCCGTTAAGCCTTATTTACAAAAATCGTAGAATAAGTACAAGTTCTAGGACGACACAATATTTTTTGTTTCTGTCGTGGGAAGTTTCTGAGTCACTTGTAAAGCTACCGGCTATCCATTTTTTTCTTTTTCCCCACCAAAACATCAAGCAACGAAAAATTTTCCTGGAATGGTTCATTATACTTCAGTTTAAAGCCCATTCAGTCGTGATTCCAACGACATTTAAAAAGTTTTCTCAAGTTCGTGAACGACCGGCTTGAAAAGTTTGTAATTTAGTCTAACTTCGAGCAAACAAATCAAACAAAATGGTTATAATAGCGCAACAAAATTTCTTTGAGCCATGAAAACTTTCAGCGGTGAAATTGCCGTAATTCAAGTAAAACAAGTGTTTAAATTTTCGTTTTATTTTCTAATAGTTTTCTGAAAAGTTTTCGTTTGTTTTTGAGTTTTTGTTTGTTTTTCTATTAGTTTTCAGAAACAAACTGCTCGGTAATAAGCAGTTTTTACTATAATTATCAAATGTTTTTAATTTGCAAGATTTATGTATCAAATTCTCTGCTCACCACGAACAAAAACGACTAAATTACGAAAAAAAATTGAATGTTTTTCAAAAGACTCTAATAATAATTTGGTCAAAATTTTTTATGCTACGTGTGCAGCAACCGGTAATCTTTGCTGTTCCAACCCATGAATATGTAAAATAACTGTGTATATGGGCCTGTTTTATTTTTTCCCAAAATCAGGTACCACAATTAATCATCGGAGTGGTTCAAGGATCATGTCATATTAAAGTTCTTTCAGTCGTGATTCGAACGACATTAAAAAGGTTTTAAAAAATGTTGCAGCGTCAAAATTTTTTAAAATTCTAGCCTTAAAAAATCCAGTTTATTATTTTTTGAAGTTTTCTAGCGCCATTTTGAGAGTACAAATATCAAAATTTTAAAAATCGAAAAAATTGATAACTTGTTTTTATAGTTATTTAAAGAAAAAACTGTTTTTCAAAAAAGTTGTTTAACAAGTAATATTGAAATTGTCTAAGATCTAGGCTTTCGTTCAGATGCTTTCATTGAACGACGGACAATGAAAACTAAACATTTTTTAAAAAAACTTCTTTTTGTACTTTCTTAAGAAAACGGTGGGAACATTATGCTGTTTGCGCAGCAGCCGGCTATCCTTCAGTCAGTTTTCAAGTTGGTTGACATACTCTAAAATTGACCAAAATGATTTTACAAGATCTTCTAAAAGACTAAAAACTATAAATTTAGCCAACATATCCTAGAATTAGCAATACTCGAGCGGCAATTGCGAA